CTGATTTGGATTCAAATATACATGTTTGGATATGTATACACGTATACGAATGCTTACGGGCGAATAAATGAGAAAATATTTGGATAGAGACACATTGATATGTATAATAGTGGATATTATTCCACCTTTTTTTTTGCTTTCTTTTTCTTTCTCTTTTCTGTTGGAAAGGGTTGAGATGAAAATATACATGCGGATACGGTGGGTACAGATACGGATGGCGAGGAGATAGACGCGGAGAAGAGAAATGGGTAAACGGGAGAAAAGAAAGAGAGGGAGGTGGTTTGAGTAGCTGGTTCTGGATTCTAGATGATGGTTAGGAGATGTTGGTATATATGAGTAGGAATTTGTCAGTAGATCTCTCAGTCAAGTAATCAAGTATTTGAAGAGGTTGAATGATGGATGGTTGAATGATGGAATTCTGCTTGTGTGCTTGTTTGCTTGCTTGTATATAAATTTTATGGGTTGGAGTACCTACCTACCTACCTACCCACCTATAGGCTATAGCTACACAGCGAAATCAGATTAGATTACATAATATCACATCACTCCAGATCCTAGGAATAAGGAATAAGGAATGAGGAACAAGCGAGTATATGAATATATGCAGATGCAGATACAAATGCCACGCACGCAATATACTGTGAAGAATGTGAGTATATAGAATGAGATGAGATGAGATGAGATGAGATGAGATGAGATGAGATGAGATGAGATGAGATGAGATGAGATGAGATGGGATAGGTAGATCTTTTGTAGATGGATTGGTGTTGATAGCTATCTACCTAGATATACTAGTGCGTTCAATATTTCCATATTTCAATATCGCGTAGAGGAAACAGATCAGATAATTATAGATTCTAAAGGGTGGAAGGGAGGGGAGTTCGTGTGTATTTATTAGATCATCCGAGATGAGAGCAGTACAACGAATATCAATTTTACGTTTTGTGAACGGATTGAAGTTGCTGGGTGATATATATTCACTTATAACATCGAGATGATATTGTCTGATAGCGTACAGTTTGTTTGAGTTTGAGCTGAGATAACATGGATGTAATGAGACAGATGACCACTGATTTCGGCATCATTGTTCGACTTCACTTTTCTTTCTCACACGATGAATTTATGGGGAGCGAAATGTGAAAGGAAGACCATCTATTCGAATATCGTAATGTATTTCTGCACATCCTATGCAGAAAATACGCTAACCTATTACCCAACTGTCTACCCTCATCAATCCTAAATATCCATCCCAAAGTTTCGTCATTCGTAATCAAAGGTTTTGACTTTTCCTATCAAGATCATTTACTCAGCGCTCCAGCCCTCAATCGCTTCATCGACTTGATCTCTGTAGACCTGTTGTGTGTTGCACTGCTCAAGGAATACCTTGTACTTAGCATTCAACAACTTTTTCTCATTGGCGTTCTTTCCTGGCCTAGTGACTTTGCCCGGCTTACTCATTCTATCCATGATGCTCCACAACTCTTCTGTCTTGCCCTCCTTATCTGCACTAGCGGCTTTAGCTCCCAACATGGCAGCACCGTGAACAACAGCTGCGTGTACATATCTTGGGATCAGAACTGGCATAGCACATGTAGTAGCCATGAGCTCCATCAGAATTTTATTCTGGCATTGGGAACCCGACATGAAGATGGAGGTGATGGAGTGACCGGCACTGTTCATGGTTTCGACAATTTGGCGCGTTTGCATAGCGATAAATTCCATGGTTGCGTAGTAGTAGATGGCTAGACCGTCCATGCTGCGGTCATTTGTAAGACCAATGACTGAGCCAGTCATCTTTGGGTTGGCAATTGGTGAACGGTTACCCCAAAGATCACCGTAGAAGAAGAAGTGACGTCCAAGGTATGAGATGGTTGGAGCGTTTTCCTTCTCCTTCAGTTCCTCAAGATGGGAATTCAGGTAATCATAAATACTGGTGTTGAATGATTCTGCCATGGACATGGCTTCGTTATATGCTGGATGAGTCTCCAAGACGTGCTTGAGAAGTTCACCAGTCGCAGACTGACCACCTTCTGCCATCCAGTAGCCAGGAAGCAGAACGTCTCGGTAAGGACCCCAAACTCCATCTACAAAGACAGGTTCGCGAGACATAGCCAAATGACAGGTAGAGGTTCCAGCTACCGCTGCAAGACGGCTGAATGCTTGGGAAATGTCATTCTTTGGTGCTCCGGTATCGAGATAATCTTGTCCCAAGTTAACCTTTGCACCAACAGTACCAATCCATCCGGCATAAGCATCAATAACACCACTTCCGATAGCAATTCCAGCTGGGAGACCAAGTTCGTTACCAGCCTTTTCGCTGAGGGTACCAACAAGTTCACCGGCGCTGAAATACTTGCCGTTCTGTATAATTATGTTAGCTTGATTTCGGATGATTGAAAATCAAAAGTAGCAATTAGAAGCGGGCTTACTACTCCATCCACTCCTCCCATTCGCTTGAAGTTATCTTTGGTTAGATCACCCAAACCAATAGCTTCGTAGAAGTCCTCTTGCCATCCCTTTACACTTCCATCAACACCAACTGGAACAAACCCTTGCTTGCAGACAGTACTGCAATAGGATCTGCTTTCATTTCCAGTTGCAATGTGCGTCAAAGCATCTGCCAAATCATAGAACTTGCAGCGGTCAAAGAGCTCAGGTGGCATGTTGTTCTTAAGCCAAAGAACTTTGGGAATTTCCATCTCAATGCTCATCTTTCCTCCTAGGTATCGTAAAAGGTTGTGTTCTGTGTCGTTGATTTTCTTCGCTTCTTCGACTGGTCTGTGATCGAGCCATAGAATAACGTTACGGTCGTTGCCATCATTTGCGAAGTTTGGACCGGTAACAGGTACTGGCTCGTCGGTATCTTCTGAGAATACTGCCAAGGAACAGGTAGCATCGAAACCGATACCACGGATTGTTGTTGGGTCAATGTTGTGTTGGCTGAGAGCTCTTTGCACACACATGCAAATACATCTCCAGATGTCTGTTGTGGATTGTTCATAGTATCCAACTTCCGGTTGCCATAAACCAATGTTTTCTGTAGCCACTATCAAACGTTGGGACTTGCTACAATGTATTCTCGGTGTGTAAAACTTACAAGCCTTGATATCTCCTGAAGCATCGATGATACATGCTCTTGCTGATCCAGTTCCAACATCGATACCGACTGTTCATCACAAAAGTTAGCTAATGTGAACGAGTGAAAATAATCTGAGTGTTAAACGTGGCAGAAACGTCTTTCGAGTGATTCTAGAGTACGGATTCGTAGGAAGTTGGAGGAAAACTTACTGAAATGGTCTACATGAGGGTTCAAATCGTTATGTGGACTATAAACATGTCAGTAAAAGATGTCACTCATTCTTGCCATTGATGCAACAATTGTTGTCCATTCGACCCCCGAACTTCTCATTCGTTGGGGTAATTCAAGGCACCCTATGAATTTCTATTTCGATATCCAATTTTTGGGACTCAATTCGGATCGTTGAAGTCTGAGTCGGGTCCTCATCAAAAGATACGTTGGACATCGACCACATCCAATACCCGAGCTCGGCACAACCATCTGAACATGCCAGGTAATGAATTGTATTACTTAATATAACGAGAAGTACTAACTCCATACTCGCTTGACGCGATGGTCTAGAAGATATATAATCAGTACAAAGATCTAATAATGCGCGAATACAAGCAGTATTGGCGTAGGAACTGGAGGGGGATATGAATCTACTTACTTCCTGTAGTTTTGACGGAAAGGCAATGAGTGATTCATGATGCCGGTATTCGTATTCAATGCTTTTGTCTACTTGTCTCTACAACCCCGATTAGTACGTGTTACAACGTTTGATGTCCTTAGGGATAGCTGTTCTCATTGGATATGGAATAGAATGCTGAGTGTGCCAATGATCTCGAGAATGGAAGAGCTGGGCACGGCGGGGTAAAGAGGGGAAATACGGACACAAGTGATATAAGGTGGGAGGGTTAAAGTAAATCAATCTAATTCTCTGTATTCAAAAATATATCAATTTGATGTCGTCGCAGCGAGATGGATAGTTGAGATGTGAATGGTATTGTGGTATGGAGGAAGAAAGAAAAGAGGGAAGAAATTTCTAATCTATATTGAAAGTCCCTGGTACTAATAAAGCTCACGATGTAGACCTCTCCAAAGCTTGATCTCCTGGTTGGAAGCTCCAGCTTTTTTATCGTCATAGGACCCCACTTTCTTTCTTACCTTCCTTCCCCCCACTGAGTAGCGCAAGTCTACCAAATAGAGTATGGAATGGTTCAAGAATGGCTCGAGAATGGCTCACCGTTTGTCCAATGGGGGAAACTGTGCAATGCTCATGAATCTCACCACTGGGGCCCAAACCTTATCGTGGCCGTAGCATTCTCCAACCATTAATCTAGAATCAAAACTGGACTTATTAGTATATAACAAGCTCGAGTAATTCATTGTCGTGAGATTTAGGTCCATGGTATATCGAGCTATAGCATGTGATCTCGAATCGATGAATAACAATAACAACATCAGTTCTACGTCTCGTTGTCAAATACTTGATTAGTATCTACTGGTAGTTGGTCTACTGTCATTTACGACATGGGCTCAAGGGCAACCAAAAAGGTCAATCTGTCAGTCGGTTTTCCCTTAGACCCACCTCTTTGCACCCTTCGTGCAGCATTTTCCAAATCCTTCACATTTTTGGTGGCAAAAAATCTCATGGCCAAAGGATACTGTAGACCGCAGATCGGGGCATGCCATTTTGAAAACGAGGTGAGGATCGCTCAAGCAGAAGCACGAACTTCAAAATTCGGCAACTTCACCGGCTTCCTACTTGTTCGGATCGGACTACTGAAAATGGGAACTCCGAAATCTTGAAGCTTCAAATTGACTTGGGGAGGGGGCTTGTAAGAGGTAAGCTAAAACACCAAATATGTCTGAATTGATATCTCTTTGCTGCTCATGCTGTTGTACTGTACAAATGCCATTCCGACCATTACCCAACCGTCTACTTCCATAACTTGCCCAAACTGACTTCCTTGTCGTCATGCTTGTTCAATACCTTCGCTGTCGCCAAATCGAAATCCTCTTGAGTGACGTGAACTCTGCGTTCTCTCAAGGCGTACATTCCAGCTTCCGTGCAAACACCCTTCAACTCAGCTCCTGAACATCCATTCATCTTCTCTGCAATCTTCGTCAAGTTGATACCACGAGTCAAGTTCATGCTGCGGCTGTGAATTCGTAAAATATCGGCTCTGGCCTCAACAGTTGGAGGCGGAAATTCGATCTTTCTATCGATACGCCCTGGTCTTAACAGTGCCGGATCCAAAATATCTAGACGATTGGTAGCCATGATGACCTTAATACCCTTGGTTGGCTCGAAACCATCCAATTGATTCAGTAGTTCCAACATAGTTCTTTGAACTTCAGAATCACCACCTGAAGATCCTTCCACACGCGAAGATCCAATAGAATCGATTTCGTCCATGAAGATGATGGATGGAGCGTGTTCCCTTGCCATGACGAACAGCTCTCTGACCATTCTTGAACCCTCACCAATATATTTTTGAACCAATTCAGAACCAGAAACTCGAATGAATCTACAGTCGGTGTGATGTGCGACAGCTCTTGCCAACAAAGTCTTTCCTGTTCCCGGAGGTCCGTAGAGAAGAACACCTTTAGGTTGTGCTATACCGAGAGATTCGAAAAGTTCGGGGTGCTTAAGACCAAGCTCAATAACCTCCTTGATTTCCTTTACTTGTTGATCTAAACCACCAATCATATCGTATGTACTATCTGGAACCTTTTCGACCATCATCAGGGAAACGAGAGGATCGACGGATGATGGGAGCATCTTTTCGAGTTTGTAGGAATCCGATAGAAGGGTAACTCTCTTTCCAACGGTAAGTTTTGAAATATCGACACTATCCGCAATATCGACGACTGCATTCAAGATCAGTATTGTGAATATTTTTACGCATGTGATGAATTCTATACCGTATTTGCCTTCTGGGTGCACCTTGACCAACACCTTCTTTGTGCCCATAACCTTGACCACCTCACCAACATAGGATCCAGGTTGTTGTAATAAACCGAGCTCCTCTCGTAGAAGGCGCACTAACATGATTAGCTGCTATTCTTTCTTATGCGACAGCATCTGCAAAAGTACCTCTGGAGTTGTAGTCATTTCGTTGAGCTTCTAATCTTCGTAGAACCGCTTGACCTTGAATGATTTCGAGCTTCATGCTCTCAATCTTATTATGAAAGAAGCTATCCAACGCCATGATGGATGAGTTCGGGAGGAGAAGTTTAGAGGAGGAAAAGAGATCTTAAATGGTGATGAAATGATGAGTGGCTTGAAGTTTTGTAATGTTGTTGTTTCTTCAAGGCTGATAATTTGATGATGGATCCTAAGGTATCACCAGTGTACGTCTCGTCTTGCTTGGTACTGTGCACAGTGCACACACGAGGCTAGGACGCTAAGATACTCGGCCGGGTCAAGTAATAAGGCTTACACTCACAGCACTTTTTATTTTATTTTTCTAGGTAGCAAGCGTAGACGCGTCGGATCTCTTCGTAGGTATTCACATATTCTCTTATTAGTAATAAAGAACCTGGAAGCTATCCACAAAGTATCACCGGCGGACATTTCCACCAGAAGTGGGATTATCAAACATCCCGTTTACAATGCATTACTCTCACTCACACAATCGAGATTTTGGATATGAGGAAACCAATCATTCATCATGCAAATCGCAAATTGTGACGGAGATGGGAGACGGGAGACGGAGATTTGCAATTCTTAAATCTTACCTAGCACTACAGAGTATGCACTCCAGACTCCAGATTTCATAGGGATCCATATCCATAGTTGGGAGTGATGGGAGTGATGGGAGTGATGAATAGCTGTAGATACCTGCGAGGTAAGATTACATCCCTAGGTATTTGTGAGATGCTGTCGATGAGTGCCTCGTAGATAGGATAGATCTCCAAGTACAAGCACTACACATCATATCATAATCATACCATGACATGACATGACATGATCTATACCTACGACCTAGGTATGTTGAGCTTTGTTGAAGATTGAAATATCAACGGTTTTGGGGATGAATGTAAGATCTTATTACAACTCAGCACACGCCAATGAAAGACATGCTTGCCAGGGAGGTGCTCAGCTACTATCATCATTGCACATGAAAACGTCCTTTCCCGCCTTGTCTTTCCTTGTCTACATGATCCAAAAGATAGCTGGATTGCACACAAACAAGCTCATGAAGGAGTTTCGGGTTCCACATACATTTCAGCCAAATATTTGGAAGTGCGATGTAATGCAAATGTAGTGGCATTCCATTTCGATAAGAAGCCCAAGAAAGAAACTTTATTTTCCATATTGTATCCGCCTGATCTTTTTTTTTTCTCAAGGGATGATTCAAATAAATGGTTGCGACTGTATCTAAGCACACGTTCGCAACCCAAGCGCCGCAACCTGGAGAAAATAATATAACAATTATATTCCATGGGAATTTCGTAATTTCTCATCTTCTCACTATCCCAACTTCTTTCCCTTTTCTCTCTCTTCTCAATCTCTTAATAGTTGAAGATACTTATTACTTTACTACCATCACATACTTCCGTAAACATAATAACATATTTCGATAATTCACTCAAGACTTTTTCTCATATTGAATGCATCATCATCTGCTTACTTCTCTCGTATTCTTCGCATGTTCAAGCTTCCACAAACGCGGGAACTAACAATTATACTAACCAAAGGACTCAACTTAATCCAAGCCTTAAGCTTGTTTCCATACCCGATGTGCGACTGATCGCATCATACTCTTTGACTGGTTGGCAGATAAATTTTAAGTCGGTGTACAAGATTCGAGTTACAAAATGTCTCCAACTCCCGGCGAGTCTTCAGGATCTGGGAAAGATACCCAAGATTTAACTCCAATTCCTTCCGGCATGTCAACACCAACAAGTCCCACAGATACGCGGCATCCATTATCAAGATCTATCTCGCAACAAAATGATGGTCTGGCCGAGAGTTTTCAGTCTACGGACACAATCCGACGGAGACCAGATAATGCAGGAGGATATGGTACGCCACTTTGAAATTTGCCCGCACATCCAATTTCCACCCTAAACTATTGTTTGTTACGGGTATGCCAGAAGATAGATGTACTAATGCTAAGTGTAGGAACTATTCAATCGACTCCTCAAACTCCACAACCTGCCGACGCCCATAGAAATAGCGAATCATCCATGACTGGCGAGCGCCCGCAACCTGTGAGTTTAGAATCTTCACGATCGTTTCAGCCAGCCAGATCTCCCATGCTAGGACCTTCCGACCGCGGTCGAGCAGGCCAGCGACCAAAGAAACCTCCTATGCCGCGGAGAGCTTCATCAAACGTACAAGCGCCTCACAGAGGGCAAGAATTCTCGGTAGATGATGATGTAACTGAGATGGAAGAAGAAATGAACAAGCAACAGGCGGGACTTGGAATTGGGGGTGTTGCATCCGGGTTTGGACTCTCGAGACATGTTCCTGGAACCGTGAGGAGACGGCCTGCTCCAACTCAACCAACTTTGCCAAGACTGGATTCTTCCCACGAAGAAGAAGCTGAAGCGGAAGCCGAAGCAGAAGCGGCAGCCTCCACCAGTGGTGAAAGGACAAAAGATGATCAACTGACTACATCGGGTGAAGACACTTTACAGGGAGAAGATGGTACCGCAGAGGTGGAGGAAGAGGAGGACGAAGATTCCCTGAGTGATGCGGAAAGTTTCACACTCAAGGATCGTCAACAAGCAATAAACCAAACCCATCCTTTCGGTATAAGAATCTGGAAGCCTGCCCTGTATAAAAAGAACCGTTCAGTTCAGAAGACAGCAGAAGGCGATATTCATTCATCGCCTGGTGGTCGCGTCAACAAGTGGCTGATCTTCTTTAACATTATCTGGACACTAGTTTTTGGCTGGTGGCTGGCACTTGCAGCATTGACTGGAGCATTGGTATGCTTCGTCTTCGGAGCAGCGCCGAGTGCTATTGCATATGGTCGCGTACTCTTAGATCTGGCTGGCTATCTTTTCTATCCTTTTGGAAAATTCGTTCGACTCGAACAAGATGAAGCTTATGCTCATGAAGATGAAGGAGAGGGCCGTACCATCACAGAATACGAACAATGGCAAAGTGGAGATATTGAGGATGGGAGACTATTCTTTGGGCCTCATCATCCACGATCAATTGTGGGCCGATCAAGGAGAAGCATTGACTCCTTTGGTGGTAGCGAGACGGATAGTTTGCTCGGTCGTTCAAGACGTGGCACTCATCGAGAAGATTCAGCACGCCCCAATAAAAGAAGACTTTTTGGAAGGGGTCAGTGGAATACTGGACGAGTTATCTTCTTTTTATTCTTCTACGGACTGATCACGCCACTACTTTTTATCGCCTCTGGTATATGTTGGTTCCTTGTCTTTTGGATTCCCATGGGTAAGGTTACAATGCTACTATTTGACCACCTGCGTCGACATCCCTTAGCTTTGTCTTTCCAATCAGATTCGGCATATTCCCGTGGATCTATTCCAAATTCTTCGATCCTCGTTTGCACATACCGCGCCGTGGGCAGCAAGTACTGGAAATATACAGTAGACGGGACAAACATTTTCTTGATAAATCTTATGGCTGTCGTTCTATTCGTCATCTTTGACTATTGGGTTCTTCTCGAGATGCTTCACATGAAGATCACAATCACTCACCCGGCATTCTTGTTCACTATGGCCCTGCTCTCTATCATCCCTCTTGCCTACTTCATAGGACAAGCTGTAGCTTCTATTTCTGCTCAATCATCCATGGGGCTGGGTGCTGCGATCAATGCTTTCTTCTCTACGTTGGTAGAGGTTTTTTTGTATTGCATCGCCTTGAATCAAGGTAAAGGGCAGCTTGTTGAAGGAAGTATCATCGGTAGTATTTTCGCTGGTATACTGTTCTTGCCTGGCTTATCCATGTGTTTTGGCGCCATCAAAAGGAAGACTCAACGTTTCAATGTTAAGTCTGCTGGTGTGACTTCGACGATGCTACTGTTTGCTGTTCTTGCCGCATTTGGTCCTACTCTGTTCTATCAAATATATGGAACTGTAAGTTAATGAATATCTTCATAGCCGTGGGCCCTCCGCTAACTATTATGCTCAGCACGAACTCAACTGCCTCTCGTGCACTGACACGTATGAGTCAACAAGTCGTGATTGCCGTCGCTGCTATTTTTCACAATCACCAGCATTGAACGACAGATTTTACCTTGAAGCTGTCCGCCCATACTGCTGGTTTGCCGCCGTGCTCTTGTTCCTTTCATATGTCATTGGACTATGGTTTACTCTTCGAACTCACGCGGCAGTCATATGGAATAATGAATCAGAAGATAAGCAAAAGCCGGAAGTTAATACTACTAATATCCAACAACCTTCAGGTGGCGCCCCACAAACCCGCGCGCAACGACACGCTCAGGCTGCTTCCGATTCCCGTGGAAATGAGATTCGGGACTCTCAATTATACAAACGCATCCTTGGCCAGTCCTTAAAGCAAGCCGGCATCAACCCTAAGGACTGTACTCCCGAAGACGTTAACCAGAATAGTTCAGTACATACACCTCATTTAGTTCCACCCAAGAGTGCTGCAGGAGAAAGTACAAAATCTGATTTTCAAATACCGGGATTCACAGAGGCTCAAAATACGACATTTGTTCGCGAAGTCGCCGAAATGGCTGCAACCGCTGCTACAATTGCTGCTCGAGATGCAGCCCGACCACCTCATCGAAGGGCATCTACCCATGCGCACAAGGTTCCTCCTTTGAGAACAGCTGTTGTACATACAGAGCCTGAAGAAGCTGTTCACGCAGAGGCTCATGCCACAAGTGGTGGTCATGATGCGCCAAACTGGAGCCGAATGAAGAGTTCGGTGATCTTGTGTGGTGCCACTGTTCTTTATGCTCTCATTGCAGAGATTTTGGTCAATACAGTCGATGTAGTTCTTTCAAATGTGGCAATTGACGAGAAGTTCCTTGGTATTACATTATTCGCCCTTGTTCCGAATACAACCGAGTTTCTTGTAAGTATCTCGACTCTCAATTTTGTATGAAAAAAGCTAACGGATATTTTCTAGAACGCCATTTCATTTGCAATGAATGGCAACATCGCATTGTCTATGGAGATCGGATCTGCTTATGCACTTCAAGTGTGTCTACTACAGATTCCGGCTCTGGTTTTGTTTAGTGCCATCAATGGCCAATGGTTAGAAGGTTCTGAACTCGTCGATAAATCTTTCAGTCTCATATTTCCACAGTGGGATATGGTGACCGTCATCCTCTGTGTGTTCTTGCTTAGTTACATGTATGGTGAAGGAAAGAGCAACTATTTCAAAGGTTCCATTCTTCTTCTTAGCTATCTAGTTGTCATTGTCGGCTTCTGGTTCTCGGGAATGACAGACCTCGAAGCTATGGGTGCAAGTCGGTTTGATATCATGGAATCAGGAGGCAGTTTCAAAACTATCGGGAGAGGCAAGTCAGGACATGCTTTTCAACAATAATGATTCTCTGTAAAGGATTACACAGAGTTTGGCAGAAAAAAATAATGATAGGATCGGGCGGGGTGTTGGAGATGGATGACAGTGATATTTTGCTTTTTGTTCTGTTTTTCTTTTATTCTTCTTAATATTGCCTCTCTTCTGATATTTTTGAGCGCCGGCGTTGAGGATATGGCCATGGTAGCAACACGCGAGATTTCAAAAGTAATCTTGTGAGCGTTGATACCATATTACATTTCCCTTGCACAAACTCCCCTTTTTTCCATTTTTTTTTCCATATGGAGAATCTGCTCTGGAGAGCTCATTCATGGCAACGTAGATAGTATTTTAAATCCCATCTGTACAAATAGTGGGTAAATATGAGATGAGATGAGAGGAGATGAGATGAGATGAGAGGAGATGAGATGAGATAGGGTGAGATGAGGGAGCCAGAAAGTACCTAGGTAGATAAATCAGGTATACGAATGATTGAATGTATTGGCAGTATAAATATATATACATTCCTCTTGGATAGAGGTATTAATAACATGACATGACATGACATGACATGGCATGCTACCCCACCATGAGCATGACACCACAAACTCCGATTAAGAGCGAAGAGCGAGGCTAAAATTGCGTCGGAGGTCGAAAGTTGATGACAAATGGATGAATAGATGTGATTGATAATGTGAGATGATGGAGGAAGGGATGGAAGGAGCGTGGGGGTGGGGTGGGGTGGGGTGGGGTGGGATGGATACTCGATTCGAGATTGTAGATATATAAACGTCACCGGACCCCGCAGTTGGGTTTCGGCTTGTTTATTTAAGTTGGAGGATTGATTGAGGAATAATAAGGAAAGAGATAGAGATTTGAGGGAAAAGGAAAGAGAAAGAGGAAGAGAAAGTTAAAGTTAAAGGGATAGAGATAAGTTAGAGATAAGTTAGAGATAAGTTAGAGATAAGTTAGAGATAGAGATAGAGATAGAGATCTTACAAGTTTGGATTGGAAAATATGAGGGTTTTACTTACTGGTATGTGGATTTTTCTCTACCGTTGTGGGTTTGGAGTTGGAGTTGGAGATGGAGATGGACATGGAGTATAGGATGGAATGGGATCGGGAGTTTGGAGTTTGAGGAGGATCGGGTTCGAGAGTTCAACGGGATTGGTTTTGGATGAGAGATGATTATTGGAAGTTTCAGATATACTCTCTTCCTCTATCTTTTCAGCTATTCTCCCTTCTCTATCTTCTCTCATCTCTTCATCTTTCATCGCCCTATCCCCCAACACAAACCAAATCAAATCAAATCAAATCAAATCAAACCAGACAACTAACATCTCTCCCTTCATTTAGGTGGATCCGGCTTCATCGCCGCTCACATCCTTGATATCCTTCTCTCCCGCGGTCACACAGTCATCACAACCGTCCGTTCCCAGCAAAAATCGATGCTATCAAAGCTGCTCATCCAGATGTTCCTGCTTCTAAATTAGTTTTCTTCATCGTGGAAGATATTGCCAAGGATAATGCTTTTGATGATTGCTTAAAGAAGTTTGGGGAGGGATTGGAAGCTGTGTTGCATACTGCTAGTCCGGTATGTGTGTATTTTCGATTTGAGGGATGGCAATGGGTGTTTATGGTGGAGTGATGATTACATGTGAATGTGATATCGTTGAGGAGAAAGGCATACTGACATAACCTAAAGTTCCACTTCAATGTAACCGACACCAAGAAGGACCTTCTAGATCCCGCCATAATCGGTACAACCGCCATCCTCCACGCCATCAAGAAATTCGCCCCTTCAGTAACTCGCGTCGTAGTAACCTCTTCCTTCGCTGCTGTTCTCGATGCCTCGAAAGGAAATTGGCCCGATCACACATACACCGAAGAAGACTGGAACCCCATCACTCTCTCCGAAGCGGTCGAAAACCCATCCAACGGCTACCGCGCCTCCAAAACCTTTGCCGAAAAAGCCGCGTGGGAATTCGTCGAGAAAGAGAAACCCAGTTTCACCCTTAGCACGATGAATCCTCCTTTGGTACTTGGTCCTATTGTACATTATCTGAATTCCTTAGATGCGTTAAATACATCTAACCAACGCGTGCGCAATCTCCTACAAGGGAAATGCAAAGAGGAAATCCCGGACACGGGAACATTCATCTGGGTCGATGTGAGGGATTTAGCATTGGCGCACGTGAAAGCGATTGAGATTGCGGAGGCAGCGGGGAAGAGATTTTTCATCACGCAAGGATATTTTAGTAATAAGGAGATTTGTGAGATTATTCGAAAGAATTTCCCAGAGTATGAGAAGGAGTTGCCCGGGAAAGAAGTCAAGGGCGGTGGGTATCCGGATGGAGGGGTTTATAAGTTTGATAATGCGAGGACGAGAAATGTGTTGGGGATTGAGTTTAGAGGGTTGGAGGAGAGTATTGTGGATTTGGTGGGGAGTTTGAAGGAGGTGGGTGTTTGAGTCTAGGAGGGGGGCAGAGGGTGAGTGGGAGTTGAGAATGAGAAATTGAAGATTGTGATGGGAAGAAAGGGGAAGGAAGTAGAGAAGGAGTTAAGAAGGATTAAGATGAAGACGAAGAATGAGAATACAAGACGACTATACATATATTACTATTTTCTCTCAATACCATATGGATAATCCCTTTGATTGTATCAAAAGCCCACCTCTCTTTCCCATTTTATTATCATCCATCATGAATACCAACATCTTAATTTCAGTCCCAGTCACAGTCCCAGTCCCAAAACATATGTAAATACAACCCGAGTCTTTACATCAAACTACACTCACTTGCATTCTTCAATCAACTCCAAGCCGTAATCCTCTCTCCTCTCTCGCGACAGACATTAGACACAACAGAACAGGTGGGAAAGAGATGAGACAAGAATAAAATACAACGGGAAGAAACCAATACGATACGATACGATACGATACGATTCTTTACACTACCTCCTCTCCATCAAGTAACGAAACAACTAAAGAGATTACCCATTTATAAATCATTTCCTCTCACGGACGGAAAATTGAGAGGTTGATTGTTACATCCCCAAGTTCATAGATCACCTGCTAGAGATGTATTTTCTAGATCTATACATGTAGTTTGGGGTTTGCGAATTTGGATTTCTACTGATTGGTTAGTGATACGCTCGCTCTCGTTTAACTTGAACTTGTAGATTTATGATAGTTATTGGATTTTTTGTTTGTTTTTTTTTGGTGGCGAGGGAACTGGAAATGAGAGATGGGGTTTTTTGATCTATATACTTTCGAGGGGGTAGGGGTGGAGAAGACAGTGATTAGATGGATGATGATTATTATGATGATGATGATTATTATTCGAGACATTAGGAATATTATACAAAAAGCGAAGATGCATATCACTTTTCCCATATCCTACAATTCGTCAATCAATCGTCTTGCCTCTGTCATTCCCTTCCAACAACAACTGCTGAAGATATATGCTCACTGTAATTCTCTTCATCTCTGGTAGACTGGCAAGATATTATTCCTACTCTACTTTGATATTATTTGGGTCGATTTTCCTTTCGCCGAGGAGACCGAAGGGGATTTTTCCAAACCTGTGGGTAGAGTTGCCTTTTGGTTGAAACTCCATACAATATATCCTTTGTGATGACTATAGATGATAAAGTCATCATCGCCCCACACAGCACCCTTCTTAAATTCATTTGACGTTGTGGTGGCTTCTATGTCGATGGGCAAACAAAAGGCGGCAAGTGTGCTCAAGCCACTGTGTGGAGGAAACTTGTGCTTTCCCACACATTGAAGGTTTGTCTTCGTCGTATCGCACTTGCTTGAGGATACTAGAGTATAAGGCTTATTTTCTCCTTTGGGCTTCCAACGTTCGTCGTAAGTACCAGTGTTTCTAGTATCGTAGGGAACAGTAGCCTGGCCACGCCAAAATAGCGGGTTTATAGGAGTAGGGAATTCTTCTAGAAACGGCTCGAGGTGAGTTGAAATGGTTCCAAGCTTTTGGGTCATGAGGTTGAAGGTCATGAGGAAGTAAGCACCAGAATTTGTAGCCGATGATACATTATGGTTACAAGGTGATCGTTGAATGGAAGCTCTCCTCTTTGGCGAGTGGTACATTCGTGATAGAAGTGCCACAACGCCATCGTCGCTGATCAATCGAAACTTGAGCATGGTTTTCTCGAAGCATGATCGAAGCACTTCATTCCATTGCCCCTGTGGTACTCCTGCGATATATTCTTGGACGATTATTAGATCGCTTCCGGTTTCGCGTGGAGTTCCACCCAAGGGTAAAGTAGAGGCATGGTAGAATAAGAAATGATGATCCTCTTGAATGGGATGGAAGAAGATTTCGCAAAACTTAATCTCATGATTGGGATACAAATTGCCGAATTCCGGATGAGCAAGCTGCTTGATTTGGCCATCGTTCCAGATGTAAACAGGGTAGTTCGATGAAGGACTCTTGACACCGAAAGCAATTTTTTTGTTTTGGGCGGCCAATATCTCATAACGACAGTTCAAATGAACAACCCTTGGGTCATCTTCTTCATCAAGCTGCCATACGTTGAATCGTGGTTTTCTGTTCATATAGACTATCAGCATGATCCTCATATCATTTTCCGTACAAATAGAGCCTGTAAAAATTTGACGATATGACTCTTGAAAGGGATCATTGACTTACGGACTATCAAAATAGGCTACGAGCATTTGATCTGAGAGTACCCAATAATCGAAGTTATATCGAGACTCATGCATATAGCGTCTCGAAACATGTGTACGGAGATCGATGACTTGAATAGTGGTAGGATCCTTTCTCATTGCTATTCTTCCGCTTTTGTATTGAAACCTTTGTCTATAACAATCTTCGTGACACCATTTTGAATAGAAACTGTCATCGTTTGGGTCTGATAAATAATCGTAGTGCATTACTTCATCATACATGCCACGGTCTCTCTTAAGTCGTCTTATACACATGTCAAGGAAGTCATCAACCTTTAGCTGCCTGTCATTGTTTTCCAATGACTTAAATTTGATCTCCCAAGTTTTACGAAAGTGTATCTTAAGTAGTGACGCGCAAAGCTTTTCGTTGGACAATTTCTCTCTCCAGTCTCTTGAAACGCGACGCATAAACATAAAGTCCTCGAGATCGAGATGCTCCACGACAAGCGTAAGAATCTCATCTGGTGATTGGGCGATACCATCAAGGTAAAATGTCACTCGATCAAAGTGCGCTTTGAATAATCGCATTTCTCCGAATGTCAAGGTTGAGCTATTGAGGAGACGTTGTATTCTATAGAAATATGAGCATATATATCTTTTTATAGACATCTTCAAATGATGTAAACTTCCTAGTCCCTTCACTTGACTGGATTCTTCACTTGTCTTTGATGATATGGTAACAAACTGTTTGACTTACGCTGACATGCGCAACTGGATATCTGGCCTGCCATCTTCGAGTTTCATGCCGTCGAGGACCTGGCTTAAATCATTTGCCATGATAGAGTGTTCAACCGAAAAGATTCAAGATGGTCTGATTAAGAGAGGTTCGTATCAAATACAGTGGTAATGTTATACAAATTAAAAGTTGGTGCACCAGACAGGTTGGGTGTCTGAAATATATTGAATATCTAAGAAGATTCAAGCATCAAGTTTCCTGGAAACCCAGATGCTTCCCACAGCGTATATGTAAGGTTTTTGACACATAAGAACTAGACAAGCGTGAAATGAATGAACTTTAATTGAGAGAAATTTTGGACGACTATCCATTAGCTAGGTAATCATACTAAAAGGTACCTATAGCTACCTATATATCAATGACGATGAGGTGGTCCAGATCACGTGATAGAACACACTAGTGGTCTTGGCATTTATGACTGAGCCACAACAGCGTAACAGCTAACAGCCACAGTTGATTCCGAGATCATCAACGGCCCCGGGGATGCCCTGCCCAGGTGATGGAAATATTATGTATGGACGAGTGTACCTAGAAATTACATTTTAACATCTTGTCATTTCTGGGTGAACGTATACCAAGCGACAGCGAGCGGGAAAGCTTGAGTTGAGGATATACTATGATATTAATTCCTTCAAACCGGGCTTTCCGTATATTGAGCCGCAGGATCAAGAGTTCTTGAAGTTACTGCCTTATTAATGTTTTCAAGGTGTTGATACTTCAATCCATATCACGTTCATGAGTTCATCATTATGTTTCGACCAATGTTTGACGCATAACCCCTTTTCAAACTTCAGGGCGGTCGTTCCAATCAATTCCAGTATCACCGTCATCCCAGGGGCTGTCGGACGAGCACTGTATATGTCAAGTACATGTAGTATCAGGAACCAGCTGAATCAAACCAAGCAACCAACGAGAATGGCAGAAACATTACTTCCGTCCTGTTGCGAATGAATTGATGACGGGAGAACCACTCTCCACATATTACCGCACCAGAAAGATGTTACACGGTTGATCGAGATGTGAATACGGGTCCTGATACTTCCGACAAATACACTCCTTCTCTGATGATGGGTGATTGAGAATATCAAGGCTTGCATATTAGTTCACATGGTACCGTACATTAGATAGGCCCTTTCATAGGTATCGATCTCATTCGGAGCCTTTATCTGGACCTGCAGAAGTTTTAGCACAGCATGTAAACCAGCTAGTTCTATCGTTTCACACATGTGACCGAGTTGATACTTTGAATGAAAGTCATTTTGTTCTAATTGCGGCGCGTCGAACATGATATGAGACCTGTTGGTCTGAACTCTATTAAGCTTTGAGGTCTGGGCAATATAGAGGAGCACCGATGGATGACCTGCCGAGCCTGCCAGCCGTTCTTTAGAGTTAAGGGAATCTCATGGCGAGTGAGATATACTTTGGTAAAACATGTATTAGTCTCTAGGAATCGTTGTGATGACCGTGCTTGCGATGCCCAAGCTGTTTCATGACCAATGCGCTATTCGGGATTTGGAGGGTAGGACGAACAGATCGTGAAGGTTAATTTGACCAGATTGCAAGTAGATATTATCATGTGTGGTGTGTTGTAGGGACACACGCACTCAACACGGCAAACTTCAGTTGGTCGATTCGTAAGATCTTACTCGAAAGGTCTAGCTAGGTATCCTAGTTAGATTATACATTATACTTTGGGGGCCAGAAAGTTGAAGGATTAGAATTTGGATCCCCCTATTTGTCTCGCAACCATGAAATCCAGTACCAGTACGGATTGGAATTCCTCTCCACCACGCCATCTCACGCTACTCACGCACTCCTGAGTCCTTAGGGAAAGAGAGCGTGGTGCTAGTATTGCTAAGACTGATCTCCATATTTTCCATATTTTCCATATTGTCCATATTGTCCATATTGTCCATATTTTTCACATCTTTCACATTTTCCACATTTTCCACATTTTCGTGCGTGCGCCCCAAGAAGTCCATGTCAACTTTCAAGAAATCGATGCAAGTCTAGGAAGAACAGCCCCCGAGCCCCCTTATTCATCCGTGCTCTGAACGTTTAGCTACCAGAGCCGCCGCATCCTGATTCCTCTTCCTTCTTTCCTGCTTCCATGTCCCGTACGATGTAGCATTCGATTGTGTTTGTATGCTTCTAGAAAGAACGAAAATTCTTTGCATGTTAGCGGTTAGATATTAGAGGTTAGCGGTTAGATGTTAGAGGTTAGAGGTTAGATGTTGATGAGATGGGCATGATAGATCGATCTCACGAGAAACTATGATAACCGTAACCCGTCACCCGGCACCCGTCACCACCATTTCGCACATTGAACATTGAACATTGAACATGGTACGTATCATGACCTATGCAAACCATCTTATACTTGGTACACATCCTCCGTATATATCTACTTTTTCTTTATGGCAATTGAGACTTTTGACCGAGGCTCCTCTTCTTCCCTTCCCCCCCTTTTTTCATCCATTTCCCAATATTCAGGGTAGTAATTATAAACCTTGAGGTTCTCGAGATTTAACAAATTTCATCGACTTCATCAAATGGAACCAATTTTTGCTTTTCATTTACAAACTAACTACGATCATCTACATCTATCTTGCATTTATTACCACAAAATGACTAGTCCTCATCTAAACCATTAAAATCGGATACGTAGAATGACCCAAGACGATATCGGGGAACTGAACAATTTTTCTTGGATTATTTCCCAGCGGGGCTTTTCATTCATATCCGGTATAGCTTATCCTGGTTAAACATCATTCAATGTTCTTTACCATCCACATCCACATCCACACCCACACCCACACCCACACCCACATCTACTCTACCAGATCTACAAATGACATTTGACATTTACATTGATTCCATTTCTTCCATTTCTTCCATTTCTTACATCTCTTACATCTCTTACATCTCTTCCATCTCTTCCATCTTTTCCATCTCTTCCATTTCTTCACCTCCACAGTACGACTACTTCAAAATCCTATCCCGTACCCTCATCCGGGTTTCTATGGTAGCATTTTATTTGCTTTATATTTTGGATATCTTCTATATCTTCTTTTGATTTGATTGCTATCCTCACTCTAATAGTCTCTTTCAATCGAACCCAGATGTGGTGGATTCTTTAACTACCTAAGCAGTCTCTTCGCATTTAAAGTTCGGATGTATCATTATCTGTAATCGGCACCTGTTCAACGGACCTCCCTACTGCTACTTCATAACTCACCCAGATGAGATAGTTCACCCACAACCCTCCAAACATCAATTTGATAACATCGGAATTAATTGTCATCGCTACTCAAGATTGTTTCGATAAGACTCGCATATCGTCGTATATCATATCTGCTGCCATTTGCTACCACTTTAGCGTGCAGCGAGGCTGAGGTGTCTCGGGAAGTTGCAGGATAGCAAGTAGCATCGGACAAAGAAGCCCTTCTTAACATCATCATTTGCATTTCTGCCAATTCAGAGCTTCATCAACTTTCGCATGCGATGAGGTGTGTTTCCCCCCTTTCGCATGTCATTTGCGCCGCCTTCATGTTCTGGTTTTAATCAAGCACGACGTGTCTAGAAGCTCGACCCTCATTAATTACACCAAAGATTGAGATTACACTGCAGTATCAGGATATCGCAAAGATGGATGTCATGGATGATCGAGCGCAACAGCACTCCTACATCAATGGCCCCAGTCTAGGCCAAATTCCCGCTCGAACAGTTCCAATCATTCAACAACCCACTCTACAACCCCCCACCCCATCTGGCGACGCAATGGATGTTACGCCCCCCGGTAGCGCGATGATGGGACCCCCTTCGAGGACTAGTCCCGATAATAATGAAGCAAACGGCATCCCAGAACATATGATGGTGGAAGATCAACCTAGCTCAGGCAGCTTGGCGACTCCTAGTGCAGCTGCTGCAGCTGCAGCTGGAGGAGGAATCCAGCCAAAAGTAGTGCAAACTGCATTTATTCACAAATTATACAGGTTGGAGCTCCAGAGAAGCTACTAATAGTCTATAAGTACTGATTGTGTACCAGTATGTTGGAAGATGTTAATATTCGACATCTCATTTCCTGGTCCGCTACCCAGGACAGCTTTGTCATGTCACCATCCAGCGATTTCTCAAAAGTCCTTTCGTAAGTAGACGCACTTCGGACTGCGTCCTTTGCTCATAGGTTGTAGACAATACTTCAAACATACCAACATTTCCTCTTTTGTACGCCAGCTGAATATGTACGGGTTTCACAAAGGTTAGTTAATCCATATCATTCATGGCTTATTTTCGCTAACAGAAATGCAGTCAGCGATGTCTTCCATCAAAATGCGCCGGAGACCCCGCTATGGGAATTTAAGCATGGACAAAACAGCTTTAAGCGCGGGGATGTCGTTGGTTTGAGGGAAATCAGACGACGGGCTTCGCGACAGTCGCTCGTTCATCGAGACTCATACTCTGCCCCTAAACCACCGCTTTCGCAACCCGGAACTCCAGGCGAACCAATTCAACCAATTCAGGAATCAACGGAGTCCAGACTGATACAATTGGAACATGGTCTTTTTGAGATGCATGCTAAGCAGGCGAGAGAAGCCGAGAATCAACAGTTTTTCCACGTCAGACACCAGGGCATGATGGATATTCTGACTCGTGTCCTACATGTAACTACCAACGGCATTGAAACAAAAAGGAGCCAGAACTAATTTTGCATAGATGAATTATGAGTTGTCGAGGATGATTGCCTCTTTATCTGCTCCAGATTCCGGCTTACAGCGCGACGGTATGTATTCCATGACTACCAAGTCACTTTCTTGATTGTTGACACAATATAGTTGCTGCTATGCAAGACGAAATCCAGCGACACATGGGAACCATTAGAGGCATGGAAGAAGTGAACGAACCCCCCGCCTCAAGTAGCCGACCATATTTTTCGAATTTGCAATTTGATAATCCCCCATCACCTCGCCAAGTACCCCAAGATGATCCTCGTCGCTCATCATTCCTTGGAGTTCCACCTCGCCAAAATTTCCATCGACCTCCTATTCCATCTCATTTGTCTCTCTCTGCTCGCAGAGGGTACGGCTCGATTGGAGGTACAGGTACGGGACAATCCTCACCAAGTTCACTGAGAGCCCAAGCGCCACCACCCGCACCCGCACCCGCACCCGCACCCGCACCCCCACCCCATCCACTCGCTAATGCATCATCACCACCGTCTAACTTGTCACGCCGCCACACTTCTGCTGATATTCGTAACGCAGTCGGATGGCAACCTACTTCATCCCCTTTCGCGTCAGGTCAATCGTCGTCGCATTACCCATCATCTCCCAAGAGAACAGCGACGCACATGGCCAACGAGGACCAACGAATTCGCGATAGTTTTAGCATGTACTCACTCGCCGGAGCAACGCATGGCCACAGCACGTCCCGCCCAACAACTCCTCCATACGCCAACGGAAATGCAGCAGAACATCTAAATAGCTGGTCCTGGGGCGGATCCAAGGACAGGGAAAGACCAGGTCTCTTCAGAGATAACTCGGGACCCCCTACTCGGCGAGGAAGCATGGCACATATTTTGAATCCAGCCGAAACTGCGGAACGCGCAGAAGAACACGAGGAAGAAATGCTTAGGGAAGAAGATCGCAAAAGAAAACGTCTTCAATAATTTCGAATACTAATAAAACTTATTTTGTAAAATTGAACGATATGGGAGAATCGAGGTGATACTCCTCGAGTCATATTCTTGACATCTATCATTTTTGTTGGCAAGATCGGGTGGATGTCAAGTTCTTGGCTTTTAACTTTTTTGTGCAGAAACAAAAATGATACCAAGAAACACCGTATAGGAACACGGATGGGAGGAATTTAGAGACTTGGATCAACTCAAGCTTTTGTTGATGGCTACAGCAAGCGTCTGTGGAGGATGGTAGTTTGCATTAAAGAATGGACGTTTGGTGTATGTGGGAGAAGAAAAAGAGAGGAGACAGATAGTGATGTGGAGAGTAATATGGAAAGTTGAAGATATCACGATGGTTGGGACCGGTTATGGTTATCATACATTGGACATGGAGATTAGGTACAGCATTTCATGCACAACCATGGATATAAAAGTGTGTAATAGCAATGATTGAAAATTCTTACAAACTTATAATTGTCATATCTGCGAGGGAGCATGTCATTCGATGTCTATATTTGATTTGTATGAATTGTCATTAAAATGTTCTTCGTAATGTAGGGTTTGAATGATTGCAGCTACTACCAAAATAGCGAAAGGTATTTGCACTTTTCATCGAAGATTCGATTTCAGTATTATCATGAATAGGAAGATGTTAGTTGCATAGCAATAGACGTAGGTCATGGAAGCCCTTCTAATACGGGGTATATACGGATTTATATACCGTCATCCAGCCCAAAAATCTCAAGATTGCGCCAGTGTATAGATCCTACTCTTCTTGATTATTGATTTCCCTTCAAACACTTCGCTATGTAAATTAGAGATGGGGAAATGAGGGATATACAGTTTGTGAAAGACACACGTACAAGACATGGCAGAACTCCGTATTCCTTCAAGACCTCAATCTTTCAAGTACGTGACTAGTAACTCCCGACACTCCCAAACCCCCTACGACTCCGTGTGATATATCGCGTATACAAATAATGTGTACAAAACCGAAGAGACAAAATAGCAGAGCTCCATATTTCATTCTTTCCTGGGAGTCTCGATGCGCTCCGCAACTCCTGAAACTCCGTGTATCTAGAACTCCGTATTCTTTCCTGGACATTCCATTACTCTTCTCTGCACACATCAATTTTTTTGCGCAAGTTTCGAAAGCCCTCATGATCCCGATAATCAAGTAGTACTCGCTATGGACGAAGGGGTGTTGTGATTATCATCGAGCGAGAGCCTCACGATCCGCTGTGCAAACGTTGCCCAGATACTTTTAGGTTCGTTGAACGTATCCTGTACGAATTTTAAACAACCCATATTGGGCACATCGGTTGGAATCATGTGTTCGTGCAAGACTTGTGCTCCGTGTAGAGAGAAGATCTTAATTTTTGCTTCGGCGGCAGTTGTCGAAACGTCATCTGCGGCTGCGATGATGCCAAGCTCAAGGTCTACGTCTAGTCCTATGTTCAGCCGGCCGTTATTTCGGTAATCGGGGTAATTTAGATAAGGTGTTGTGGGGGCTGTAGTCTTCTTAGTGTGTTTTAATGTGTGTGAGAGCTGAGTATTTGGTTTTGTAAATCGTCTATCGTACTGGCAAAGATCGGACGCACAACCTGCAACAAGAACGCGGTGATCGTCGAGAGACTTGATTTCCGCGATTCCGCTTGTGTGTTGAATCTTTGCTATGGGCCCAGATTGAGATGTTCGGAGATCTAGGAGACTGAGAATACCTCTTCGTTCACCTGTGAGAAGGATATCCTTGTGATTTGACTGATACTGCACGGCGAATACATCGCTGTAATATTGGTCTTTTGTGTTGAGGGTTCGGATCCAGGACATGTCCATATTTTGATTGATCCGAAGGATACCTTTGCTCGTACCAACGACAAATGCATCCGTGGAACTTGTAGGCGCTGAGGCGGATGATAGGACATCGACTGGGCCTCGCTTGGTCCCAGGACTGAGGTGGATGTCGGATTTCATAGGATGAGCTGAGATCATGTTAACCGTGTACACACATGATCTACATATCAAGAATCGAGGTCTGATTGGTCTTTCATTCTATCCCACGCAAACAAGTTCTGGAATGACTTACGTCGAAGTTCAGGCGGGGGAAAAGGACTAACTACGATTGCTCTAGATGCAGGTACACCAGACCATGTCGTTACAACGTGCCCAATTGACTCATTGGCACTGATAGAAGTGGATTGACCCGGTGGAAAACCCAGATTGTAGGATCTCTGAAATCTAAAATGAGATCCAAACACATTCGGTACTCGTGATTTGTCTTTTGCTTTCATTCCATAGTCGTACGATAGGTGCAGGATTGTGTTATTGGCAGCTAAGGAATCGTCAGTGAATAAGTAGATCATGAATCAAATTACAATGGCTCTATACAATGAAACATAGCGCACGCCGAAATAATAGTTTGATTATCAAATTTGCTTCGGGACATAGAAGAAAAGAGCACTCAAGCCTGAACGATCATCCGGTTGTCGAATGCGAATTGGAACACTAGGGATTTGAACTTACCATAAGACATGAGAACTTTGGCCTCAGACACATTAGTATATCCACTCACGTCGAAAAGGTAGGCGCCGCTTGCTCGGTTGTCCTGTGGGTAGTAATCAACCGCAAACGCCGTGGAGAGACTTTGAGCATAATAGTGGGCAGCAGCAGTGTTCAAGCAAGGCTGTCCGAATTCTCTAGATAAGAAGCCACCAGCCATAGGGGACTCAAGAATCTTTGCTCTTTTGATGCGACCAACATTTCGCTGGACTCTTAAAGATTCGGCTTTGTGGTTCTCGTCGTCAAGCTTGCGTCTCTTCACATCGTGAGACGAATATGCGGAACCTGATGGTGCATTTGCCTGTATCTTGAAATACTTCTTTTTTTCGCTATCTAAAAGTGTTTTCAGTAAGTTGAACTTTAATCGATATTGTGATACCTAGGCATTCAGATGAGGTTAAGGTACCGTAATAGTATCCAGGAAGCTCTGATACCTGAGAAGTATTGGACTTCATATCATTAATCTCGCCGTACGTATTGTTCAGATATCTAGATAACTTTTGGATGCTTGTCTGAGAAGTAGATAGGGTTTTTACATTTGGGATTTTGAGATTCATGTGCATGTGACGTAAAGTAACGGTAAGAAGATACTCAAGTATAGAGACCAATTTAGCACGCCCTACGGAGTATCAACGGTAGCAATGACGACAAATGAAAAGTTCTTGAATATCACGTGATAATAAAGGTTCGGCTCATGGAACTTTGAAAGTGGTTTTGAGACATTCCATGAGGCTTTCTTGGAGCTTTAGTGAATCATAATTGATATCAAATCTTCGTTGGGATAGCAGAATGTATTCGGGTTGACGTCTACTTAGGTGGATAATTACACATACTTTGCTCGAAGTACTCGTATACAGAGTATATTCAGATTTTGGTGTTCCATTCATCGGCCCTTCCTTTCTTGTTCCACATTTAAGCTACACGCTCAAGCCTAATGCAGCCCCTCCAAAACTTCTCTTTCCTTCCAAGAAGTATCAATTTTATAAACTAACAACTTGACTCTTGACCTCAAAACATTCGCAAGCTATACACCGTCAACCGCTCACAATAGCCTTGACAAAGCAATATCTTCAAAATGGTTTACACCTTGACCGTTCATCTCTATGCCAACGAGCACCCAGAATCTATACCCCGCATCAAGGCCAAGCTCATTGAAGCATCCCGAGTCTACAAGCAGGACAAGGAAACTGTTGACTGGATTGTCATGCAAGATGTCCACGACCCTAGAGCATTTACCATTGTAGAGAGATTCGAACAAGAAAGTGTATGTGCAGCTTAGTCCTATTTCCCATGTCTCTATAACATGATACTAACTTGACCATTACAGAGTCAAAAGTACCACCTCGAGAACCCATACTGGAAAACTTTCGACCCATACGTCGTTCCACTCCTCGGCAAACCCATGGATCTCCGAAGACATGAGGAATTAGATATCAGCAAGGAGGTTGAGGTTCCAGCTTAAAGGATCTACCTAGCATCTATATCACCCAAATACGAGAACAAGGACAGCTGGGCAAACCCCTTGGCATTGTACTCTAGAACAACTCCCCATATATCAGGGACTGCTACTATGAGACACCAATGTAATAGGAGTATGATAGTGAGATTCTATGATTGATATCTCTAGCCTGCAGGCTTTGATTGCTGAAGTAATACTGTGAAGTATGTAAGAGTGTCAATGTTATGATTCTTGATGCTGTAAAAATACCTCTGGCTTTTGTACCCAAACTAGACTATCCTTAACCTTATGATTATAGATAGCTCTCAAAAAGAGTCAGTTGTGATTGTGTGGCTCCGTTAATCTATGAGAGCAAATTTGTGTTTCTCAGAGGGTAAAGCCGAGCCAAGAAGTATCGTGGTGCAAACAAAGACTTAATTTTTCGTCAACACTTTAAGTTAGTTGTATCTAATAACATACCATCGTACCCACACTGAATATAGGCTTTTATCACAATTCCAAGCTGGCTATAAGGCATTAAAACCCTGGTGGATAATACAATAGCTAGTAGTGAGATTGATGAAGTGTCAGCCTTGCATTTATAACAGCAAGGCTGTATCTCGCTAAGATCAGGTGATCACCGCATTCGGCGATTCTTGTTCCTTTCTAGATGTATTCGTCGATAACGATAAGGTATTAGCTAACATCAGTGTTATGATTCTCAGCCCTATTGTTCCATGTACATCTGCAAACACCCTTGAATTCGAATTCAACTCTTGAATTCCACGAATCTTTTTTGCTTTTGTCGTATATTATGGGACCTCGGTATCTCCCTGCGGACCGCGTCTTAATTCTTGCTCCATGGCTCCGGCTCCCATGACGCGGCAATCGTAAGTCAATATTTCCTTTCAACTTCGCACACGCGACTTATAAAACATTAGTGACTTGGTGATCGATTTGACAGGAGACGACGAGGAAATCTCTAACGCGCCTTTTGTGCTGCCGTCAAATCATGGCCTGATAATTCCTGGGACGTTTCCAGCGCCTTCAACTGGAATCTCGCGACCACATATAAACTCTCAGTCAGCCCATCACTCTGCGCCAATCCTACCAAAGAATCCAGTGTCAAGAGGAGCTTCAATGTCGACCTCCAATGGATTCACTTATGCGCCAATACTACCAGGCGCTACTGTCGCAACCAGACATATTCAACCCAATGATATGATACTATCCTCCGATATATTTGCAATAAAAAGACGAGATCGGGAAGGGAACAAAGACTTTAGCACACGGTCTAACCAAGAGCCATACCCTGAAAGAGAACATGCTCTGAAGAGAAGGCGAATTTCGAGGGTCCCGGAGGAGATTAGCTTAAATCAGGGTCTACAGCCCATAGTCGAAGATGTAACCTCCAGGCGACGGACAACGAGGGGAGTGGCCGGCCAGGACTATGCTCCACATCTCAACGGACAACTCCAACAAATCGTATCTGATCAAGAGCTGCACCTTACGATTGAAAATGTCCCCAAAGTTAGACGATCGACAAGGGGAACAACGGAGCGGGACTCCACTCAGCACTATAACACACACACTCGGGATAACGAAGAATCTACATCCCGACGAGCATCGATGCTAGCTATACTACCCCCTAAACGAGCCACCTCGAGCATTAACGAGTCTCCGAAATCCCCCGTCTCTCAACCTACTTCTGTATCTTCACAGGCCAATGATAGGTTCTCGGAGACGATCCATGATCAGGTGTTTATTCATATCAATGCTGCGATGGTGCGCCACAAGCAAACAATAGATCCAAAGAAACTCCATGAGATTGGCACTTCAGTTGCTGGTGTACTTGTGGACAGTCCTATGTTTGGAAACCTCAATCGATATAAACTGTCGCACGAGGATGAGACCGTGATATCAGAGAAAGTCAAGCATTACGTAGACGAGTTTGTTGCATATAGTCTGGGCCCACCAATATCTTTCAGCAATGATGTTAATGCTGCTGGCTCTCATGGGGACAAACAAAAAGTCAAGAACACAAGCAATGTTTCTTTCCAGAAACGAGGAACGCGATCTCGAACTCGACGTGTTCAAACAGAGTCAGATTCTTCTCCAACAGAGATTCAGTTTCTACAAAACGGCTTTCTGCCCAAGACAGAGAGTGGGGAATTGGCTACCTTAAAGCAAGCTAACAACAACACTGCGCACGTCGAAACAAACCTTGATCTAGCGGATACAACATCTTCTCATGATACAGCTTCCCTCGGACAAACTATTGATGGACAACCACGGCCATATATCGATGCCAGGGGCCGTGAGAGAATCCGCCGTGGCCTCCAACGCGTCTCTGATCAAGAAAGAGAGGTACTTCTAGGGCGTGTATACCACATTGATTTCGGTGAGGAAGAACTATCGATTATACGCAAAGTTTTGAAATCGCAAACACAACTAAAAGGAAAGCCAAGCATGGCACTACTCATGCAAAAGCAGACGCTAGAAGTACCTGAATTGGTCTCGTTATTGATATCGCAACCCTGCGAAGATCCTAGCCAGGGCCTTATTCAGAGTCGTGGGCCAGAATCATTGGCTGCTTTTCTCAGAGATGCCGCTACTGGCGAAGTATCAATAAATTCAAGAACCCTAATGGTAGGTCCCAAAAGGTCTCCCAGACAGTTTTCTGCGCTTTTAGGTCAACGTGAAGTACACGGCATGGCCCCCATTCGATCGTGCGGTGGTCATAAATCATACGTGCGAGAGATTAACTCTGCCCTCGAGGACTCATTGCAAAGAAAGGTTGAGTGGACAGATTGTTGCGGTGATATTTGGGCCATAAGTTGGACAAGTAGTGACGCTTTTGTATGTGGCGCGACTGCACATTCTGATAGCCACAATATGCAATACAACAAGCCAGGTAATCTCGTAGTTGGTTCTGTTTCCAAAGAGACCTTGGATGCAATGCCAGATCATCGTATTGCACGGCCAATTGTGAATGTGAGAGATAATGCTGAGAATGCTCTTGACTCTATGAGGCAAACTCAAGACCCCTGGCTTTATACCTCTATTTCGGCAATATCCCATAGTCACAATAGTGGCCTCACTTTTACCGCAAGCTTTGATGGAACTGTGAAGGTGTGGAGGGTGTCACCGTCTGATACTGGATCGTCCATGGATATATTGGGGACATGGCCGCACGAAGGAAAAGTCAATTTCGTCACAACCTCGGAGCACCATGATCTTGTGGCTACAGCATCTGATGTTCACAATAATGCTGTCCGTATTTATCGCCTCAACAATGACAACATAAGTGAATCGTCATTCCATACGTACAATGGCGAGAAAGCCGCTGAGCAAGCACGTGAGTTGCACGATGACAATTTATGGGCATACTATCCTGCTACCGTCCAATGGGGTAAAGCAGACAGTGTTTCGAATCTTTTACTCGTTGGCTACTCGCCCCGTTCGTTTAGCAATGACGAGGTTGATATCCCAGAAGACAAGAGAAACAGTGGAGAGTTATGCTTGTGGAATGCCTTTGATGGTTCCAAGGTTCCTATTGCTTCTGCTCGTGCCCAGAATGTCTTTGAAGTTGTCTGGCATCCTACCAGACCAACCTTTATCGCCGCTACCTCTTCCTACGGCCTTTTCAAAAGTGAGGCAAAAACGCAAATTAGATTATTTGCAGCAAGAACCGACAATGATAACTATACCGCTTTCTATCCAATTAGAGTTCTTGATTGCCCTGCAATGGATATCAACGAATTAACAGTCATGTAAGTAGGCTTTTTCAACCTTCGATACAGCGACTAATATAATCACAGGCCAAACAGCTTCCATCAGTGCTACGTAACGGCTAGCTGTACGGATGGCAATACTTATGTTTGGGACACTGGAGCAATTGGCGACGATGCAATTCATGTTCTTCCGCATGGAGGTGAGAATCCGCAATTCCTTTATAATTCATCATGCTAACTAATCTAAGAATCGCTTGATAACCCCTACCATGATATTCCTCGTGAGCTTGCAGACACCGGTGTTAAGTTTGCTGCTTGGGGAGAAACTTCTGACCGGTTTTATACCGGTGCTTCTGATGGCAGAGTTAAAGCCTGGAATATAAAGAGACCGCCCGGAAAAGCATTTGTTCGTGAAGTACTCGCGGCCTCTGGTGGGATCGGCGCCGGCGCATTTTCTTCGGACTTTTCCAAACTTATTATTGGTGATGCGACAGGAAAAGTTCATTTATTGACACGAAGCGAAGATGATCCTGAACTGGAGAATTCAGACCTCGAAGAGCCTGATGATTCATCGAGGGTTCAGCCTGGCAAAAATAATCATTTTCTTTCACATCGCAGAGGTCCCAGGCTAATCAAGCACCATCCGGAGCCTGATCCTCCGGACAACCACATTATACAAGAATTACCCGAAACAGGGGCTGGGATTTCAAATCATTTTGTTCAGAATAATTACATCACTATAAATCCAGATCCTGCTATTGGTGCAGTTCAAGGTCCAAACTATCATGAGACTAGCCTTTATCGCCTCGATGCACACGAAGATCAGGATGGCACCAAAGCCTTACTTCCTTACTACCAAGCTCGACAGCAGCATGATCTACATATAATCATGGCACCCCCGCCTTTTTCAATACTACCGAACCTTACACAAAGTTCAGATCTTATTGCTCATTTGCATAATCTATCTCTAAGTCTTGAGTTCGACATGCTGGAACCAATGACTCGCAGGCAATTATTGGAGGATAGGGCACAGCTCGAAGCGGATGATGACTTCGAGTATGAGGTTGGCCCAAAGATAGAAATATTTGGAAACAAGCGGTCTAAAAGACATTGATCAGATGGGCAGGATACAGCAGGTTGAAAGCAGGTAGTTTTGGCATTTCTAAATCTGTAAGTAAAAATAGGAGCAGAGCCGCTGTCAGGGTGGAGATATATGTAATACAACAAGGAAATATATGGTGAGAAGGCTTCATAGGTATATGCTATATTATATAGTGATATATTGGCATCTAGAACACGGGGATTGGATGATGATAATGACGGAGGTTACTTGTATCAAATGCAACATAGCGAGCATCTCAAAAATACAATGTCTTTACCTCACATTTATTATTAGTATGATACTAAGTGGTGTACTCGTCAATTTTCTGCTTGTTTGCGACTGCTATCATCAGAATTCGCAGCATCTGAAAAGTCCTGCGAGTATAATTCTTTTTGGCAACTTGCCAATTTTCTTTTCGCACCCACACGTCAAGTCTAGGACTTTTGTCACGTCTGATAACCCCAGAAAGCTATGTTTCTAGCTGTAACGAGTAGTGTGTCTACAATTTGTGAATTGAGAATAGTCATCGAAATGCCGCACAAACGGACAAGTGTCAATGTCAAATATACATCGATTTCTTTCACTGGGTTCCAGATCGTTCTAGGAAATGATTCGTTCTCACTTATGTTTGTGATGTTGAAATAGCTAGGCGATTAATGGATCTGCTTGTATGTAGCTCTTGATTTTATCTGGGTTAGGTATCCTTGCATAGGTGGTTTCATGCTGTGCACGTATAGTACGTGGAAATAGTGTGTGTATATTGAGTTCTATAGAGAGTATCATTTGGAAGACTGCGTATGCAATGTAATTGATACTCACGTGGTGTTTTGAATGTGTCAATATGTATTGTGGAAAGATTAGACGACGAAATGAAGAGGTATTCTTGTTCCGCAGAGTAAAGAGGCTTTAATGGTAGATCTTTCCGGTTTGAGAGAGAGAATGTGGGATAATGCACAAGGAATTTTATGTGGAGGGTGGTTCAGAAATGCATTCATTTACGCCAAACTTTCATCAACGACTTCTCCTTTGGAAAAATGAGATAGAAGTGTTTGCTTTATGTGACAGATTCATCAGAAGCTATGGTCTGTAGATTATGCGCAACTCGTACGAGTGTTAACGAAGTCTCGGGTTTGTTTGTATTGAAAAGGTATAGCGTGGAGCGTGACCAAATGGGGCTGACAGGTGACATTCTCCACGAGGGGACGATTTTATTTTGTCCACTTGCGAGGTTAAACTTAATGCGGCATCATAGTATTTGGGATTCTCGATAAAATATTGAGTGTTGATTCGCTGTTCAGTATGGAATTCTTGTATTAATTTAAAATTGAATAAGTACCGAGCCTAGCAGGGTCTTCATCTAACGGTGTCGCAGTTTGCTAAAGACAACTATCTAGAAGACAAACAGGCTTGCGCGAACCGGTGAGCTAGTATATTCATATCTCGGGGGGGGATGGATTGAGACGGTGGAGCGTTTGTTATCGGCTAATGGGAGTTGATTTTATTTCATGCCTGTGCAAGTCACATTGTCAGTTGCATGTTGTTGAGCTAGCAAGTATTTAACACCACTAAAGATACCTACTCATTTTCGGTTCATCCACATTTACCTGACTATTTTTCATTACAGTGCTCAATACATTTCTATTAGGCTACATTCACTCTTTCGCAATGCTCGATAAAGCAGGTTTGAGCGTGACAATCTGAGAGTCATTTTCTACAAGTGTTAGATCGCTCTCATCACTTTCTTCTGCATGGATGAAGAGTGAAGGTCTACAGTTGCATAGATGCACAAGCGTGCATATTATCGCCTGGCTCAAATTGTGATGAACAATAGTATCCCACTTTTAGGGATAAGTCAAAAAGTTCAGTGGGGCATGATTATAAGTAACTATCTTCTGCTTCATCCAATCTTGGATTTTGAGATTTATGCCTCCAAGAAACGAGGACACCCAAACTCCTCATCTATTCCCCAATCATCTAACAAAGGATCGCTTCCAGCTCCAAAGCAAATTACTCTCAGGAAGAAAGTCATGCAAGGCGAAAAAGCTGCACCAACTGTCTCAAAAGGAAAAGGAGTAAATCATGGAGGTATATCGACCAATATTAATCCCAAAATGCCAACCCTAATGAACTGGCTGCGCAGCGGAAAGTCAACGAATATCACAGCATCATACAAAGAAAAAGATAAACTGAGGTCAAAAGCTATATACGGATCAGGAGATCAACTAGGCCTTGAGGATATCAGGAGAAGAATCAGTCTCCGAAGAGAGAGAAGTAACGGAATACAAATCCATCTCTGAAGAAAATGAAACGCCTTCGAAACGGCAGAAACAAAGCGACGCTGCGTCAGATAATAGGAAATTATTATCGAGTCCTGGTACAACTCTCGCTACACCAAAGAAAAAGAAAGCCAGCTCTCCTAAGTCCCCACGCAAAACTACCATACCTCAAGCAAAGAAACCGAAGGCTCCCAAATCTCCAAAGACTGACACACCCAAAGAATCAGAGAAAGTAAAACCCCCCAAGGGCGTCATAATCAGAACCCAATACGTTGCAAACCCCGCCGCGGTTTTTATTCCCCCTATTGAAATCTCCCACAAGGACCTGACGGATTCTACACTCGACGGAGAAGGCGAATTAGTATATCAAGGAGAACGAAATAAAGAAGATAATCTGCTATACTGGTCTTTGAATCACCGAATAGTCGCTGAAAAATACGACCGTCCCGCAGCGGAATATTTCGAACCACCTAAAAAAACATTGAAGAAATGGCGTGCGTATTGTGCGTTTCGCGGGTTGGATACTTCGGGTACGAGAGAAGAGATGCAGGAAAGAGTGAAAGATTATTTTGGATTTGTTGGATTTACGGAACACGATGAAGGTGATGAGAATAGTGACAACGATGAATCAATTGCAGAATCAGAACGTCTAAGGGAAATAATCGAGGCAGAAAATCATCGTCCACGGGACCCATTCTGGCGTATCCAAAACGAAGCCGAAAGAACTCGATTATGGAGCATCCTCTCCACAGACCAGCAATTCGAAAGCAATATCTCACTCTTCATCACTGAGAATATAACTGACTCTAGAAACCACGACGTGTGGGTATTCAAAACACGTCCCAAATTTAACGTCGCTGAGTGGTTTAAATTTTTCGAACAATATCGAGCTCAGGATATCGGATTAGTATTCACCACTCCGCCTAACTCTCTACCTTTAGAAAATAAAGAAGATAAACCCCCCGAGATAAAATATCAGCGTGGGAAAATGGTCGCTGTACCGTTCTCTAAAACCCACTGGGGAGGAGCGTGGGTAGCTACGGGTTTTGAAAAAGGGATGATACTCGCGGGGACTCAGATCCTGGTAAAGCGAAAGCTTGAGCAAATGTGCGAAGAGGTCAGAAGAGGTATAATTGGGAGATATATCATAGATTCCAGAAGTGCAGGGAAACTAACTGGTGAGTGGGAGGTATTTACAATCACCCCCTATTTGAACCAACGTTACAAGCAGCGAATTCATCTCAGTCCTCAATCGCGAGCACATGGATCGTAAAAGAACAACAACAAGCACAAGCTCTATGGAATCGCGAGGATGCAGATAACAGAACTTCAGATCTTACATATCAATACGGGAAAGTGGTAAAAGAGAATGTTTCGTCAACTCAAATTGTTTCGTCTCCTGCGCTGCTGCATAGGCGCGCTTCATTGAGTATTTTGAAAATGCTCGCTGTGCGGTGAGAATTTTGAGGCTGTAATAAGCAGTTGATACATAGAATTCCAACTTTCATATAAAAACGGATACTCGAGTAGATTGATCTCATTGTCTGGTATTCTGGACTGGTAGATTAGATATGAACTCTCGTCCATATGAAATCAACATTCCAACCAAATCCAGAAAGCAAAAGCCAATCATCGTACCATCCTCTGCGACAATTCCCGATCCCTAATCAACAACGTAAACACCAAAGCCAATCCTCCCAACGCCAACATCAGAAAGAAAACAGCTCTTACAGCACCCATATAAGCCTGCAGAGCCAATTCTTTCAACCCCTCCTCAAGGCCATTAACAACCCTGAAATCCTCAATAATTCGCTGGATACATTCGGCTGCATTATCTATATCCCCTAACTTCTCCCATAATAATCTGCCCAACACATTTTGAAACGTAAATCCCGCTGCTGAAATCCCCAGTACCGTTCCGGTTGAACGAAAGGCGAAAAGTGCGGACGTGATAACCGCCTGATCTTTTGCTTTCACCGACGACAAAAGCGCAAGAATAGTTGTGGTAAGCGTAATTCCATATCCGATATTAATGATGAAAAACCCGACAAAGGGAGGCCAGACAGATGTCTGTAATGTAAATGTACAGATAAATGTCATTCCAAGAATATAGATTACTTGGGATGCGATACCGAGTTTGTAGAATCTCCCGGTACCTTTCACTATGATGCCAGCAATCATGGAGGCGATAGCTGTGCCGATTGAGCCGGGGATTAAACGGAGACCAATTTTTGTAGCGGTGTAGCCCTGGGCTTCGAGGAAGAGGGGAAGATAGAATATCATCGCAAAGCGGGAGGCGGAGGAGAAGGCATTTGTAAGACAACCACCAGCAACGGAAAGATCGCAGAGAAGAGGAAGTGGTATGATTGGTTCTTTGGCGAATTTGAGTTCGGTGATGATGAAAACCAGGAGGGATATTAAGGATAGGGGAAGACTGATTAGAACGATGGGACTGGTCCAAGATACTGTGTTACCTCCGGCGCTCATACCAAGAAGTAATGCAACAAGCGTTGTGAATAAACTGATTGAACCCAAGTAATCGATCCGTTTGAGCTTTGATTTTCCCTCCCCATCATCTACGGTGGGTATACGTATAGTGAACCATGTCCATATCGTAGCCAACAGCGTGATGGGAATCTGCAATAAAAATGTAGCTCGCCAATCCAGGGAGTCGTTGATCCATCCTCCAAGTACACCACCAATACCGGATCCTACGCCTAAGATCATATTTCCAATACCTTGCCACATACCTCTGTCTCGTAAAGGCACTAAATCAGACAGAAGAAAAGTGGCAATGGCCATAATTCCTCCCCCTCCTAATCCTGCTACCACTCTACCAGCAATCAATACCCATTCCGTTTTCGCACTTGCGCACATGTAATTTCCCAAGGCAAACACAATGTTAGCGAGTACAAGTCCGCTCCGTCTCCCATAGATATCAGTAAGCTTTCCAGACAAAGGCTGAACTGCCGCATTTGCTATGAAATATGCAGAAGCAAGCCATGGAAGATGAGACAATGAACCAAATGAGGAAGTTATGGGCGATGAGAGTGTAGCGATCATGGAGGAATCAACAGCTGCTACGAAGGCTGATAAGAAGGGTCCGACCATGAGGATCCATACGTGGAGTGTGGATGGATCGTCTGGGACAGCGGAATTGGTAGTCGAGGTATCGTCATTGGGATAGAGGAATTCAGATTGGGGTTCTGGTGGTGGATTGAGTAGCGGGGTAGTTTCGGTGGGGGTTTGTGTTGTCATTGGAAGTATTCGGCTTGATGGTCAATTGACCACAAAAGATACAGGAGATGATGGAAGAGTGAAGATGAGAAACCACTTATATGTAGATAATGAGGTGTGATCAGCGGAGCCAAAAGTCGGTTGACATACTAGGTACCTATTCATTATTGGCTCCCCAAAGCTAAACCGGGGGAGCGGGGTAAAGCAACCCGTGGCATCAACCCGACGTTATTACGATGCATCTGCATATTATTCTGCGATCGCCAATGGATAGTCAGTGCCACTTGAACACCGCAGCGAGCGCAAAGTGTTCAGAATCTCGGTAGGAGAAGAGATTGGCTTGGAACCTATATAGACTATAACGAGCCTCTATGTGCGAAGAAATGAGCCAGGATCATTAGAGAAGCCACAAACTAATGGCGAGAGACAATCTATACCAGGTCAATGGACATCATCGGAAGTGGCTTTTTTTCTATCTCGATTTGCGCAGCTGTATATAGGTATTGTTATATATGCCCAAGAGCCTTCTAGATATATCGTCCCGCCATGGAACTTCAGCTGTCCTGTTGCGGTAATCACCTTTCTCAAATTTTGAGTTGAACGTCGTACAACCGATTTATGACGGATAAATCAATGCCTCGTGAAGCATCTAATTGCTTTGTGATGGTATCCAAAGCGTGAGAGATGGCAACAGGGAGGTTTGAAAAATACGAGCTCAGAAAATTGATTGATCATGAAATAAAACCGGTTCATATGAAGTGAACGATCGACATTCTATGAAATATCCGGCTGTACTCATATTCTCATATCAGTCGATAATAACAATATCTTCAGGGTCGGCGATGAGGAGAAAGAGGTGATTAATAAAGCATCATCAGCTGGCAACAAAATACAAATGTCACGCTCAGCCCCTCGCAAGTTATTAATAAGCAATAAGCACGGATCACTAGTAGATGCACAGACTTACGGGACATGTGCTTTTTGAAAATATCCTCAAAATAAACAATCCTAAATATAAACAATTAATTCAATTTCAAAATACTATTGAATATATAATTAATTAAATGTGAAATTACTTTTATTAATAAAGAATTATATAGAGAATATAATTCATGAATAAAATTTAAGTTTTATAATAAATTTGATTGATATTATGTGAAAGAAAGTTTACATTTTATTTTAATTTGATTAGGTATATTAAAATTTATAATTTATTGATAATTTAAAAAAAAAAAGATTTATTAAAAAGAAAAACCTTTAAAAAGACTTATAATTTTTTTAAGAATTTAGGGGGATTTATATTAATTAATAATAACATTTGTAAAATATTTATTTCGCCCTCTTAAAATAAGCTATGAATTGAGTTTTATAAAGTGATAATTAATTACTTCAAATTGAAGATAAAACAATATTCGCTATAAATTTTTTTAAAGAGATTTATAAATTGAGGTTAGTACTATAAAATTGTTTATTTAGAAAAACATTTTAATAATCAAAACTATAGAAAATAGATCATTTTTAATAAAATATATAAGTATAATACTATAGAAGGATTTTAGAAATATATTTTATGTATAAACGAAATATATATGGATTCTGCTTTTATAAGAAAGAAAGAGATATTAAAAAAAAGCTGAAATTCAATATAAACTAGAAAATATAATGGAATATCTTTTATTAAAAAGTAATAAAATCTATTATAGAGTATAGATTTCTTTTAAAAAAAAAGTTGAAAAACTTGAATTCTATTACGATAAGAAGGAATATACAAATAAACTAATATCTATATTTAAGTTTAGAAAGTATTTCAAGATTGAAAGTCTTAAAGATTATAAGGAAAGATTTTGTATATAAAAAAGTGAAAAACTATATTCTAAGAATATTAAGCTTTAGGATAATATTATAATACAAAAATATTATATAGAATAATTACTTTCTATTTATATAAAAACAATTAAAAGATTATAAATAAAAGATTTCATATATAAATAGCTTTTAATAAAGAATAGTAAGTTAATAGTTTTTATAAATTCCTTAAATAAAGAATATATATAATCGAAATTGTAATAGTTATTAATTATTTAATTATAATATTATCTCATTTTAGATTTTTTGAAGTTATATAGACTATCCCGTGAGTTTGTGCACTCATTGGTGGATCGCCAGGGTGAAGTTATAAGCTTATTAATTAGTCCCTGCTGAAAATCTAAGCTCGATTAGCCTAGAGCCCTGGATCTTCAGCGTTCACTAGGCATTTCACAAGGGTTTACAGCGCCTAGAAATAGCCTCCTTGATTATTCCAGCAGATACTCCCCATGTCAATCCTCCACCAGAGGAAGTCATCTCAACTTAATAAGAAAATTGAGATTTTGAGACGGACATGTAGAACTTGAGACAAACTCCCGCAATTTGTAGTCGTTCAGCTTTAGCCTTGATGTGATCCTATTCTTCTTGTAAGAATATAAGATGTTTGTTCATAAGAGCCTGTAGATTAGCATTGAATAAATTGAACATGGAATCATATCATCATAAACTCAATTATTTAGCAGTATCCATAAATAAACATTAACTAATCATTTGTGAAGATTGTTCACAAAGAACAGTGCAGCAAAGTTCAGCACTTCTCCGTAACTTCAAGCTTCTCCTCGACCCTCAATTTACGTTCACGAGTATCGCAACCAAGCCATAGAAGATCCGGCCTGCTATAGTGTCCACAAACATCCAAGAAACTTCGCGCAAATAGCGCTTGATCAAGATCAATATCTCCATAGACAATTCCTTCAGCTGTAGAATTGAGAGGCGTCGACATAACCCGACCATCGGGTCCAATAATAACCGAAGCACCACCTCCTGGCGCCGACATCAACAATCCTCCTTCTGAAGAATTGGCGTTGACTCCTTTTTCTGTGATGACAGTGGTGGCATGAAGAACGAAGGTTTGAGATTCAATGGCATATACTTGGGAAAGGGCTTGACATCCTGGCAAACATGTATTAGTGACACCCTGAACTTGAGAGAATTGTGTTTCTTCACCTTCCAGAGACATTGACCATAACTCAGGTCCACCAGTATGATTAACAATGGGTGGCCATGCCGAGCAATGAATTTGCTCCCTTTGATGTAAAGTATGATATTTCAACAATGGTTGACAATGTTCCCAGCAAGCCAGAGTTCCAACGTTTCCAACGCGAGTCGAAGCAACATTCATAAGACTATCTCCAGAAGAGTCTCCAAAGATCGTACGTTCCATATGAGTAGCCTTTAGCTTCCTTCTCTTCATGGCTATCGTTCCATCGCCATCGATGATAGCTTGCGCAATGTACAATGAGTTATTGTCGTTCTCTGAGAATCCTAAAGAGACGACGATTCCATGCTTCGCGGCACAGTTTTGGATGGTTTTCATCTCATCAGAATCGACGACTAGGGAATTCTTGATGTATTTGGTGGAGAGAATCGGGTCGACTGGGCGAGTCCTTCTATTCGGTTAGTATCGCAAATGGAATGGGATTTTCGACATTAAGTTTCTCACCATATCCACGCGGGATAGCCTGGAATGAATGCTTCTGCGAATGTGACCAACTGCGCACCGTTCTCTGCAGCCTCTGTGATAATACCACATGTTTTTTCTACCGACTGTTGTAAATCAAACCATTCTGGCTCGTGCTGAGTAACAGCTACGCGATATTTTGTAGAAGTTGAGATAGTCATGTTCTAGTAGACTTATGATAGATTTTGGTAGAGAGGTTGTAGTAAGATGAACAAAGTGGATACCACAGTGAGCAATTTCTTTGTTCTTATGTATTCAAAATCCGAAGATTGTAATATCTCGGAACTCCATGGATTTGGTGAGATTATATCAGGTAATGTTGTGCGTGAATACCCAAAAAGAGAAAATTCAAAGTACAATAAGATACTACATAGCTTTCCCCGCATTCGATAGCTCTTATCATGCGGGTGAAGCCCCCGCTGGCCGATAAGACAATGGTTAGGCTTACTGATGTACCGCTAAAAATAGGAATTCCGCGGTACTAATTCCGCTTGAATATTTCAAGATCTTACTTTCTCCTTGGAGAAGTAAAATCATATGTCTTGCTCGGGCGTAATACGCACAGTCAACGACTACATCGCCCGACTGATCGCCAAATGTCTGGAAATTCTTATCTTTAGTATCTCCTAGACTATTGTAGACCGGGATTGCTTTCGTCGAAAAGCCACTCGAGACTTGATTGATACGCAATATGTTCAGGCAGATTGACATGCTCCAAAGCATTTTCAAACAAGCTTGGATCCCACAGAGCTCCACAGTCATTACCGAAACCAGTATGTGTGTACCTATTCGCAACTTCACCCACATCAAATCCATGAGGTATTTGAGCGCCACTAGTAAAGACGTTTGGAAATTCTTGCATCGGTACCATGATTCGATTGCGGCCTTGATGAATCTCCCTTTCTGGTAGGCGCTGGCTCAATCGTATTGGCAATGCCCACACTACTTTCCATTTGGCTGCGAGCTCTTGAATTTCTCGTATCGCCCTGCTTGCTTGTGGCAGCCACGTACTCTGCATCTCGACTAGAGCATCCAAACAACTTTGCAGGCTATTGGCAGATTGCCTCCCTAGAGAGTTGCGACCAGATGTTGCATTCAGTAAATGAATTACGGCAGCACTAAGGATGTAATCTATAACTTGAGGATTGGCATCAGCGAAACCACGAAATTTTCGATAGGCTCGAACAATTCGAGCTATCGAGGCAGCAGCATTTGTCGCTGATCTCAGGGCAAAGCTCAAAGTTTCCGAGCCCTTGGGCTCATTCAAAAATGGTCGATGAATGAGCAATATTGCAGTATGATATGCTAACTGGAAAAGAAGGAAAGTTTGCGGCATGAAAGTCTTACTCAGAGCTAGCTTATCGTCGGTACTGGCATAAAAATCTGTGAGTGCTTGATGTGCGCACTTCAACAGATTTTGCCGTTGCTTAGCTTTCAAACCATCCCATTCAAACGCATACCTGATTAATAATGTGAGCTGATTGTTTCTAAGTTATGACACAAAAAACCAACCTTTGATCCATGAAAGAGTCCCAAATATGCCATAGCTGGCAGAACTTATCATGAGCTAATTCATCAGGTAATGGGTTATGACCCAAAACACTGAAAAATGAGGATATGCGAATACGTTGCCAGTGTATGGTGCAATTCATCCCAAGACTTGAGGTTACCATGCTGTATGTATAGGTTATCATCAATGTATATTGTAGTCTTTGTACAGATAGACTTACCGATCCACCGAGAAATAAGCCCAAAAAGACCTTATTCGGCGTTTACGAACGTAGTCATCGGCCGCGGAATTGCGAGTCAAAGTCAAGTCTGGCAACTTCCCTGATCCGAGGCTGCTCACATGAAGCCCAAGATGCAATATCAAGCCTGTGGCCATAGCTACAATAGTTCCATCAATAGACGTTTGAGCAAAAGACGAAAGGAGATATACCTATATAAGTGTAGGCCATGCTATTATTCTCCAGCATCAACTCTCGCCACGATAATAATGCAAGTCCTTGAACAACCAAGTCACTCGGATGATCCCGTATACATCTCAATAGGATATTCTCAGCAGATGTGGCATGATGACTACTTAACTCCTTTGCATCTGGCTTTGGAGAAAGAAAGGCACCCACGGAAAGTAAAGCATGATTACGGAAGTCAAAATCCGGCTCTGTTGAGAACGTGGTCTCTAAAAGAATGGTCTGCAACTCTGCTTGTTCTATAAATTGATGATAAATATTGAATGCAGCCATGAAACACTCAACGAGATGTGTTCGCGTTTCTGTGTAGAATCCGATTTTGCCACTGTTCATATCAGGATTCAAGTTCTCAGTTGGAATTGAATTCTGTCCAGAGGCTGACTTGTTCCTTGGGATGGTAAATGACGGTTCACCTTTCTCCTCGATATCCATGGTTAACATCAATGAAGCAAGCTCTTTCATTGCAGTCTGCGAGCATGGATCATTGGGCCCATCAATGTTTTCTGGAGTCATGGCCTCAGATTCATAAGTAAGCGAACTGGTGGTAACGGGACTAGATATAGGCAAAACCTCATGGCCCATATATTCTTCAGATTGAGGCTCCGAACTTTGATAAATTGCAAATTGAGCCTCCAAAGCTTTCACTCTGTCTTCAAGGTTACGGACATAGCTATCATCACAATTTTTACGTCTGTACACATTAGTTAAGCTGGTGGTGTTGACTGATTCAATCAAATGAAACGTACTTTCGCGAGATCTCTGGGGGATAGTAGCACAGCTTCCCTCCCTTTGCACATAAAGCACATGTTGGCCTCTGGCCTTAGCACTAATCACGATTAGTATATAATGCTACGGAGTATTCTAGGTCATATTTTGGTGTCAATTGATACCTTTCTTTTATTCTTTCGACATTCTTCACAAGCAACTTTGATTCGTAGACGTGTGTGCTCATAAACCCGCACGTTTGATATTGTTCTTGCAAGTTGAAATATACTACATAGGACAATAAGCTAAACGAATCCTGTTAGTAAACGATGTGACATGCATATAAAGATGTCATTGTCTTCTTCCCACTGGTAGATCTTACATTTCTTCATTCGTAATGGAATTGTTTACGCGGTCAGCAAGGCCAACGATTGACGGAGACCTTTCCCTTGGCTTTCAAATATAGAAAGATTCACATTGAAAGCTGGTTCCTGGTACCTAGGTATGTTTAGCAATCGCTATTACAATTTTTCAGGTCGTCGTCGTGGACAGGTATTAAGTAGTAATAAACTTATGGTCTGAGCTTTTAAGCTAACGTAGTTTAATACCGAGTGGGCTATATCACCGAATAAGCTATTTTCATCTCAATTTATACTCTTTATATTCAATATACATTTTATCAACTATTTATTATAGAATCTATAAATAAAAAAGTACATTTACTTTTAGTTATTGAAGTTCTTCAAAAAGATAAAAAACTAAGTATTCAACAAATTACTCAGTTATATAATATACCTTATATAACAATTAATTATAAAATAAATAATTTACTTTTGTATATAAAAACTCAAGCGAATTACTATAAGATTATAGATTTAAAAGAAAAAGTGATTATTTAATATGTTTTTGATATAAATTCAAAAGGTTTTTTATTTAAATTTAAGAATATAAAAAATATAGTAAATTATATTTTCAAATTAAGGGATACAAAATACATTAAAAAACTTTAAGCATATTGATTTATAAAGTATTGAATTAAATTAAAAATATATTTTAATTGCATTTATAATTTTCAAAAAGTTTTTTACAAGGATTTTAAGCTTTTTAAAGAATAATTTCAACTAATTATAAATATATAAGCGAAATACAATATTTTGAATAAAGATTTTTATAATTTTAACGAAATAATCTTTATAATAGAGATTATATATATAATAATAATAATAACTAATATTAAACAAAATGATAAAAGTAAAGTAGTATAGTTAAACAATCGAGAATAGGTTATAATAATAATATATAGAAATAAAAAGGGTAAAACTATTCCCCTATTTCTAGTAGTTCAAAGATAGATTCATCTTTCTAATTAATATACCGAAACCAATTTTCCTATGAATTGAGCTATTAAATCTATATCTAATAAATGAACAATAATAAAATAAATTTAAAATAATTAAAATATTTTAATAAGTATATTAAGAATTAAAAAAAAGCAAATATTGAATATTGGTATTAAATGGACATAAAAGTTATAAATCAAGAGCTTTTTAAGTATATTATAAAAAGAATAATATTAAATATATATGTTTACTATTGTATTTAAGTTATTTAATTTAATTATTTAATATTAATTATTTTAGTAATCTGAAATTTTTATATGATAATCAAATTGATAAATTTATTAAGTGTTAGGCAGACTTAATAAGATGTGTATATATAATATGTATGAGTAAAAGGGTTGTCTTATTTCTGTCTACCCTCTTTATATGAAAAAGGAGTTACTATATCTATATATATATACTACCCCCACTTATACACTTCGTATATATATGGGGTAAAGCATGACATATAATATTATATTGTTGGTCATGTATTCCGACATTAAGGTATATATTAATTATATTTCAAAGATTAAATTCTTTATAGTTTTTAAAACTATATATAAGAAATCAATTATTTTTCAAAATATGAAATCAAAATTCTAAGGAATAGGTTTAATATTATTTAATTCTAAAACTATACTTTCAAAATTAGATATTCGAATTTGTACACCTATCCCTTCCTCTTTCAATCTAGACTAATAAATCTTTCAAACTTCTTGTAACTCAATTAAAGCTTTTTTTCAATTAACATTAGTTAAATCTTAAATAAATTATTATTAATCAAACTTCTTTACACTTTTATTTAAGATTGTACTAGTTTTAGTTAAGAATATAAAAAGATTAGCTTATAAAAATATACTTTTGAATGTAAAGATTTATATACTTCAAAAAACAAATAAGATATTAAATAAATATTAATATATAAAATTCTTTTAATTATATTAAAAAAGAGTATTTATTAAATAAAAGACTTTTAATATATTATTTTAATAAAAGGTTGATATTCAGATTCAATATAATAAATGTTAAAATGAAGGGAATCTTAATAAAGAAGTATTTTTTAATAGATACTATAATAAATATAAAAAGTCAGGTTATAATATAAGAATTTATTAAAATAATATAATAGATTCTAAATTATTAAATTCTTAATAATTTAAATTAATTGATTTAATGATTATTGAATAATTTATATTTGAAGGTGTAAATTGAGATGAAAGTGGTCCACTCGGTGATATAGCCCACTCGGTGTTAAACTACGTTACGCAAAACGTGGTTAGTTAGACATCAATAGTATAGAAGCGTACCGGCAACTTCCTGGGACTAATATACCGTACATATTCCGGACAACTTCTTTGAAATCTAATCTCTTGCATCCGACAAAGAAATCATTCCAAAACTGACGTATTTTCAGCTGTGTGTTTCCCAGACATGATGTTGTGCAATCTCGATAGCCTTTCTCCGCAGCTAAGTGGCATCAGATTACCCGAACGCAGTCTTACTATATATTGAATGTCATCATGTATACATGATCATGTCGTTCAGGCGGATAATACATCCGCAACATGAAGATAAGAGCCAGCTATGCTGAAATTAAGTGGCACCCAGACATGGGCAAGCTTTTCATAGGCACCATAAGGAATTACAAAAACTCTTTCAGATCCTTCTATACTGTTTTCATTGTTAGTACTTTCTCAGACGCTCAAAAGTCAAGATATTACATGATATCTAGAGATAAGTGTGAATCCCACAAACTATCTACTATAATTAGCTTCATAAACATTGTCCATCATGGTTTTCCTTCTTAATATGGACGGAAAAGACTACATCTTTACCTACGGAATTTTTGGCGTCCAACACGAAGAACTTACTCCAGAAAAAGCAATTTTCATCTCTGCCCTCTACATACTACTCTCTTCATCTGCCAATCGTGTCGACCACCTTCAAGATGAAAGTCACGGGCTTCCTCGTCATAGTCCCAAATCTACAACTTTCATCGCCTACTGGCTGTCCTCTTCCTCCTACCTATCATTCCAAGCCTCCTCCTCTGTTCAAGAATTCTGGAACTCTCTCCCTTCAGATGCAGGTGTCTGGCGCGAAGTAATGACCATCCCAAAATCGCGCTTCATGTTCGCCTCAAGTCAACCCGTCGCCTCAGCAATGGGCACTCGCCTTCCCCTAATACAAAGTTCCGACGAAGGATACTGGGGCGTATACCGTCATCGATTATCCGAAACGTCAGATTCCTATACCGATCCTAAAGATACATTTACCTCCGCTTATGTGACTTCCACCAAAGCGAAACCTAACGAAACGAGAAAAATCATCGATATACCGAATACCCGTAGTTCCAAAATAATATTAGGGAGAGTAACCATCTCCAACCCGCCCGAGAATCTCGTTTTTGTCCGTGAAGGACAACGCTAGTCAAATATCCCACCCGCGGAAACAGAAGCCTGGCTCAAACAAATAAATCCACATGCCCAATCCTGGATATCTCATCTCGACACTGAACGGAACAAAAATGGCGTAGTGGCATTTACAACACACATAGGCCACGAGAATCCCACCCCAGAGATTGTGAATGAAGAGTTTGATGCCAAAGCAGATTTAGAGCTCGATACCGAAGCTATTGTTGAGACGAACCAACTTGCATATTTCTTGGATCTGTCGCATTTTGAGCAAGCAGGCCGTTCACATAAAGGTCATGTGGAATTGAGAAAAACGGTTATGAGTCTTTATGGACCTGGGGGTCAATTGGAAAAGGGAAAGTCGGTTTTGTTTGTGGAGCTGTGTGTTTTGAAGTCAGGAGATTTGGACGCCGAGTATATTGGTTGCACTGAAGGCTCAGGTTTGATGTATTTAGCTAATTTATAGTAAACTATGAAATCAATAGGAATTCCCTCGCCAATCATCAAGGACAAACGTTAACAAAATATCCTATCCTCTATTGAAAAGTCCTCGATCTTGTTCTGAAAATGCATCCACCATTTACTCATTAATCACACCAAAATATTCTATGGTGGAATTCTCTCGTCTCCGAATGTACATTGAAAAGGGAAAATAGATGAACCCTAAGCACATATTGTAAATAATAATGATATGGCGCATGACCCACCCACGCTTCATCGGAATCGTCGAAAAAAGGATCTTCAAGTGTGGAAGAGCAAAGCTCTCCCAGTCGATAAGTATATGTTTCGAAATCGAGTCTCCTCTTTTTGGATTCATCATAATCCCAGGCACAGGCAGCTTGGGCAATTCTCTCCTCCTTCTCCGTCCAATCTTTTCCGCTCTGTGATGAAGAGGTAGTATCATCTGAGAGAGCGGGGGAATGTCGTGAAAGGATATCTAATTCCATGGTAAGTATTTGAGCAAAAAAAAATCAACACGGATGGTACTTACCACTTTCTTCTGTCTCTGAGTTTCTGATCTTTTCGACATAACCCTTAATAATGTCATATTCAATCTGTTCACACATTTCTTCAACCCTCTGCTTCACCAAAGCTCGAGTTCTCCTGATTCCTTTCTCAAACCCACTGCCGGCCCACGTTCCTCCCAAAAATTGATGATCCTTAAAGTCAGATGTTGCTTCGTCTGATAGCCAAGAGACCCCATCTATAATACCTCTCTGAAATCTTGTAACAGCTGGGCGACCGTCTGGAAATTGCGGATAAGTCGTGAAAATGAAACCTATATCACTGCACTCCAGAGCTTCCTATATCTCCAACCATTTTTTGGTCGGAAATTTTAGACAAATTTTGAAATTCCAGAAATCCCGAACAGGATTTTTAGCAAGTAATTACAGTCCACCAATGGGTGCACAGACTCACGGGACAACGTGACAGGAAAGCACAATTTCACACTTAAATTTATCAACTTCAAAATTCAATTAAAATTTAATATACGATTTGATATTAATTAAATTGATCTATTGTATTTTTCAAATATTTAAAAAATAATATGTTTAAGATTCATTTCAAAGAAATTAAATTTAAGCTCAAAAAACAAATAAAACAATTCCCTATCAAATATTTTAATGGGAAATTATATAATCAATTATTTTAATCACTTTAATTTTTATTTCTTTTATTCAAATTTTTTGTTATAAAGAATCTTTATACTTGAAAACTGTAAATTTCAATTTCGAAAGAATTTAATAATAAACCAAATTTTGATTAAATTACATTATTAAAATCACTCTTTTTGATGTGAAATTGTGCTTTCTTTTTGAGTATCCCGTGAGTCTGTGCACCCACTGGTGATCTCTTTAAGAACGCGTAGAATATTCGCTTCGAGTCTTTGTTCTATTTGCAATGCCTCCCACAATTTGGTTCTTTCGGCCTCATTACGTTGTTGCCACGAAAGTTGAGATTTGCTGACCTGAGGTGGCATAACCAAGTCAGGTACAAAACCTCAGATGAACTAGAAGACTCTGAATACATCTGAGGTTCTTTGGCCTTGATATAATCTCTAAGTCGTTGCTGCATCTCCGCAAGTTTTCCAGAGGTGTCCAACTTTCGGAAAGCGCAATATGCACGCCATTTCTTTTGCGTCAATTTGGGCGGTCCCATCATGTATTTGCCAGTATAGGGATTAATCCGAGGATTTAACCACCACTTTATCTTTTATCCCCTTCATTTAGCTCTCTATAACATACTAATTGGCCCGATCCATTGCGAGTGAATCCCTCCATTTTGCCACTTGAAGCATCAGCGACTAGGGGCTCGATAAATACAGCAGAAGGATCGGATGTATATTCCGTTCTGACCTTAACACCCTTCGACTTGGGTGTTGCTGCTTTTCGTGGAGACGATGAAGGGGCTCTCTTTTTCTTAGGCGTCGCAGGTTCTGCTGGTGGAACGATACGATTACTAGGCTCCTGATCGTCATCGTCATCATATGTGACATTTCTTTTCTTCTGACGCTTTGCTACCAGCTACTCTCCATCTGACTCAAGTTGCTCTTGATACGAGAGTATAGCTTTTCTCTGTCGTCCGCTGCTCCTCGTGCCATCGGCTGGCGCACTTGTCGAATCTGCACTCATAAGAACATGTTCTCCTCCATCCTATGCTTCAGAATATTTTGTATCATAGATGGCTTCAGAAGCAGAACCAACTGGAACAGGACTCTTAAGCGGTCTAGCTCTTTTCTTGGGAAGATTTTCGCTCGGGGTGGAAGCCGGCTCTTCCTTGCTCGATTGTTGCAATATCAATGACAAAGGGGCGGGGACAGTCTGGGCATCCATCGTATCAGATCCTCATCAGGTGATGATTGCAGAAGTCCCCATTCTAGACAAAAGAGGACTTCAAATACAATGAAAATGCACTTACATGGATCCACTTACGAAATCGAACGAGCTCGTTGTCGAAGTTTGCCTTGCCTGTGTCAAATGAAGGTCTTTGAATTTTGGAGTATGATTTTGCAAATTGAATGGACTGGATCATGTCAACGATAACAGCCAACGTTGCCCCGCAATGATAAGTACCGGCACCTGAATGAGGAAGCTGAAATTCGGGCCTGTTCCTTTCCTAAGACTTAGCTACTTATCATCATATTGAAGCTTGCCCGATGGAGTAAAGGGTGTATTTCGAATTCCCTTGCTCTAGTCATCTCCCACTTTCCATAGTCGGATGGTGCAAGATCACTTATTTTATCATTGGAATCCCTCCTGAGTACCATCGTATCCCATGTCAATCATACATTGCATAGTGATGTATACTAAAAAAGCTAGCAGTGTCTTACTACTAATTATTTATTTTGATATAATGAGAGAGAGCTTGAATAAACTTAGCCTTGGTCATAAATAGTGTCTCTGTGCCTTCTCTAGATTTGTGCATAGAATCTTGTTGCTACCTTGAGCAGTAATCTCTCTCGAAATTGCTTCCGAGATCCAGTTCTAACTCTTTGGCAGCTTCTTCAACACCATCTTCGGAGTCTTCTCAGGACTGTCAGGAGGTTTCTTCAAGCCTTTAGACATATTTTCCTGTAACTTTTCCTCGGCCATCAGTTCCTTCGCTCTAGTGATGAACTTCCTTCTCTTTATCTCTTTCTCTCTGTATTGTCTTATCGACTCTTCTTTTTGCTTAAACCGCGCTGCTATTTTATCAAGTTCTCTTTCTACCGCATCTTCATCTGCCATATTTTGCTCCACCAATTCCGCTCTCTCTTTCAAAGTAGCCTCAAAAGTATCTTCGTTTCCCCAAGGCTCGCCGTATCTTTCAACCACCCAAGCGCAAAATTCTTCCCACTTTTTTTTTCACTCTCACATTCTCTGAGCCTTTAATCCTTTCTTTGAATTCTCACCTGATCGGATTCCCGATTGCCAATCTTCGTCAGTCTGGTCTTCAAATCGTGACCACCTCACGCTGTTCTATGCCAAATGACCCTTTTATCATAAATTAGCTTGCAGGCTCGTTCATAAGAGTAAAGTCAGTCCACAGAGGAAATACACGTACCAGACCACCGAGATCTAGATTGTCCCATGACCAGATGCACAGGAATAATCCCATTGAAATGCCTATCATTTCTTGACCTAATAGAAATGGGTCATCACAATTCAAACTAGCACTTACACCTTTTGCCAACAGCATTGGTAAAGTATGAGCATTGGCAGAATTTGTAAATCTCAAACTTTCATCTGACAGTGGACAGGACTCGATCAGGATTTGTCGCTCTTTACAAATCTTTTCCAGCAGCGGGTGTTTAGGAAGTGAATATCCATGACCAATACGTCGAGCACCTAGAAGAATGGCATCGCTAAACAACGATCAGCATTCAGGAGCATGAAAAGGGGTTCAAGCATACTTACTAAAGGTTGTGGTCATTTACTTCACCTGCATGCAAGAAGAATGGGATGTTTAAATTGCGGCTTTCACATTGTTGCTTAAACCAGAGGCAAATAGGTATGAGATCTTCGAGTGTACGACCGAGTCTTTCCTGTCCCTCTAGATCGTATCCTGAAACCAGATCTGGATATCGTTCCTTCACACGCATGCAAGTCTCCATATCTATTGGATGGAGTCAGATTTTCCCAGAGATACGTAAAAGGGAAACATACCAGCTTTGATTTCTTCATCTTTCCACAATCTCAAGCCCGTCCAGATAACCCGCAGTCCCCACCATTCCTTATTTTTCTTTTTCATCGTGATTGCAAACTTTTCCCTTTCTTCACAAATCACTCTTGCCATTTCAATCTCCCCAGATGGGGTATCACTCCATTCCAATTGAAATTCAACCTTGAAAAGAATCCTAATCTCTATCCACTTAACGTTGTCTTCGTCCAACCCTTCAAAGATTTGCTTGAGGAATGGCCGGAAAATTGGCTCATTGTGAATTATCGTATTAAGTAGCTTTCTTCCACTTTGGAATGTATCACAAGCTTCATTGATACCCCCACTAGTATCTATACGCTGGGGCGTTGTCTTCGTTAATCGAATCTTCAACCAGGTGATAAAGTAAGACTTGCCCTGAAGAGGTTGTCTTTCAAGACCAGGTGCGAGACGATATTTATCATAGTTCGTAGAGGAAGGGTAATCGCTGTATGTCGACGCCGCAAAAGAGACTGGAACAAGTGAGTTGGGTACATAATCAGGATCCCAAAGATTATTCACTGAATTTCTAGTCTGTCGAGGTTGCGAAGAACTGTATGTGAATTTTAACTTTATTCTCTTCTCTCTTTTTGCCCACCATTCGTCGAGGGGCCTTGAAGCGCTGATATACATGCCCGGAGTCTCGATCATCTTTTCAATGATAAAATCGACCGAGACGCAAGAAGCGTGGTGGGCGTGAAGAATTGCTTCCTTTGGTAACTTCTTTATTATCTCTAATAGAGCTGTCCTTGCTATGGATTCTTTGATACGAGGGAAACCAAAGTCTGAACGTAAGCGACTCCTTGACCAAATTGAATCAAAAAGAACCTGCCGGTTAAATTGTTGAATTGTTGAATGCGAGAAACAATAGTATTGGCGGCTTGGACTGTAGGCGAAAGAGATTTCACAAAATCATAGTCTACAACGTTAGCCTCATATTTGATTTGAAAGATGAATTGAAGACTCACCCCCTCTGTACTTCTGTTCATCGTCGACCAATTTAGCTCAGTTACTTGCATACTCGTTGAATTTTGCTGAATTGTCCATTGTTGTCGAAATTGATCATTGATATCACCATAAGTTGCGAATATAAAGATAAACACAAACCGTAAATTTGGAAATTAAAACTATGATCGTTCTTCATGATATAATTCCATTCAAAAGGTCGTTGTTCTTTGACTGATAGTACATCCTGTGCCTGTTCTTCTTTGTCCTAAATCATCTGCATTTGGAGACAGAACAAATTTTACAGGATTCGAATTGGCGAATAAAGGGGTCTGATTCTGCAAAGAACTCCTGTTCATTCATCAAATTGTTGAAAGGCATGATGTTGGCAGGAATGCAGAATCAAGAGAGATTCGTACGATGAATACTAGGGGTGGTTCTCATATTTTGAGATTTACACAGCTCATCATCTATAGTGTTACGACGCTCACTAGACTTTACGTCAGGTTTCTAGAGGCCTTTGAGATATGAACCATATCCCCTTCATCAATATCTCACTTCAACTACTCACATCCAAAATACTAAGTAGGACTGATGGCACTGTTCATGTACCGGAGACTAGACAGCACATGTTACCATCTGACTTTGAGATACCCTGTTCATTTTTAAGGTTTCAGAGCTTGGATTCTTTCCGTGGATAGCGTGAGCCTGCAACTTCGCCTGGCCCAAGCTTCAGCATATAAATATAGATGTGCAAGTGAGCTATGGAAATTGTGGATTTGCAATTGGGACTTATGGCCCCGAAGTAGAGATGAGAACTGACTAGGTACCGGTACTAGTCCGCTTTCTTCGTACTTGTAGGCTATAGCAAACTATGAAAAAGAGGAAGGTCCATTTTCTTGCATATTTTTCTTAAGGTTTAGGTCGCCTGTCGGTTGATATGGATTTTTGCTTGTAAAAAGAAAAAGCTCTCCGCTATACTAAGCAACCTTAACCTTACACTGGTAAGTAATCCTACACCGATAGGGATATTTGCATGCCATGTGAGCATATTCAGACATTGGATTCGCATTCAAAGTGATAGATGTGCCCAGAGCTAAGTGGAACGAGTGGAGAGGACAGAAATCTCGAAAGCAACCGTGTTCGTGACAACTGGGGTGTGTCAATTATCCCCACAAGAAGAACGCTTTGTGCACGACCCGGATCCGTCCTAAGCTCTTCATAAGATGGACTTATTAATTTCTGTTTGCTAATAGCTTCCAAATTCATCTGCAAAGAAGCTTTCCAGCCCAATCGAATCATTCTAGAACAAATACACATGGTCCCTGCATGTACTCGAGGTACTGCATTGAGAACGCTGTCCCTCGGTGTGGTATTTGCTCAAACACGTTGGTATACGAAAAATTCGGGAAAATGACGCTTTGATCGAGATTATGAGAGGGGATCGACACGTTCATAGATTTTATTGAACAGATGCTCTTAAGGTTACGGAGACTTTGGAGCGCTGAGTGAATTCGTGATTGAGAGTGAAGAATGAAGTTGAAGATATATGGAGTTGAGGTGAACGTGGAGATTGTAGAAAAGCTTATTCGGAGAAACTTCTGCCGAGAATTTCCACGCTAATTCTCGTTTGCGTCGCCAAATCATTCTCTTTCATTTTCCCCCTTCACAATCTTTCCATTGTCGAAACAACAATCCATTTGTCACCTCCAGCTCATCAGTATATTCTCATCAGATTTTTGACTTTCTTTGTGAGAAAATGGATACCGTTTGTACCTTTGAAATGGATGGTCTATTGAAATCCGCATTGTTTTTCCAGAATTGGAAAACTTTTCCGCCCCGCAAGCCTGACAAGTTCAAGCTTCACGGTGAGCTAGGAGAGGTTCCCCGTTGACCGCAAAATGGTGGAGAATCACTTCTTTTTTTCTTCAATTTTTACTCTCCTTTGCGCAATTCCTTCTACTATTTTCGTTATTCTTGGGTATCACGAGTGACACAAGCCCAACGTTATGCTCCAGAGCGTTCGAAGTACTACGTCGGCACTGCGGATTCTGTTCCAGATTTTGAGTTGGCAAGACTTTTTGAGTGTATTACCATCTGAAGCTAGCATCTTCAAGTTATTAGTGTGTGCCTTAATGGAGCTTTGTAGTGATCACACACCCAGAACACATTTGCTGTCGGCTCTGGGGAAGAGGGCTAGATCTCGAAAGGGATGGCAGTCAGTCAAGCCGGGTGTTAACATTGGGCATTGACAACCAGAAAGTATCCTCACTGAAGCTGAAGCACCCTGGCGCATCTTTCATATATGAAGTCGTTATTTCCTTTATCTTTTACAGTAAATCATCACATGTTCATCAAAAGCACACAGGAAGTCTCTCAGCATCAAATTTAACCCCATACTTCTTACCTTTATCTTGGATCTTGTACCCTTCTTACCCAATCTCGCTTGATTGTTAAAGCATTATAGCTGTTGCTAGGCACAGTGTTTTCGCATCAGATACAACGATAAGCACATAATCCCTCAAACATCTCAATCCGGCATACTATGGACCAATCCCAAGTCAACAAAGACTCCACTTCAACTATCGACCTTGAAAAGAATGTGCACGAGGGCTCCTTGACCGGAGCTCTCGGCTTAGAGAAAGAGAAGGCAGTCATTGTTACTGTTACTCCACTCTCTGATCCAGTAGTAGATGAATCCGATTCAGATTCTGAGGATGATTACAAGTACCCTGAGGGTGGATTGCAAGCTTGGCTAGTTGTTTTTGGGTCATGGTGTGGCATGTTTTGCAGTTTCGGTATTGCAAATTCCACAGGTTCATTTCAAGCCTACCTAGCCTCAAACCAGTTAGCATCTTATTCTGATTCGCAAATTGGATGGATCTTCTCATTATACTCATTCATTCTGTTTATTGGCGGCATCTACATTGGACCTGCATTCGATGTTTATGGACCAAGATATTTGGTTCTGCCAGGAAGTATTTTACTCGTTCTTTCTGTCTTCCTCTTTGGGGAGTGTACTGGTAAGTTTTGAAACCCAAGAAGCAAGATCGTGCAAGGCTAACTATTTTCAGAGTACTGGCATTGGATCGCCGTATTCAGCATACTTGGTGGTTTCGCAAGTTCGCTGACCTTCACTCCGTCAGTCGCAGTAATTGGCCATTGGTTCAATAAGAAGCGTGGAAATGCGACTGGTATTGCAGCCACTGGTGGTGCTGTTGGTGGCATTGTTTTCCCACTTCTCTTGGAAAATCTCATTCCAAAGATTGGTGTAAGTATTATTTCTCCAAACTTCTCTATTCAAACAGAACATTACTAAGCGATTTCAACATAGTTCTCATGGACAATGCGTGTAATGGGTTTCATCTTCGTTTTCATCACCGCTCTAGCCAACCTCCTTATCAAGCCCCGTCTTCCACGTTCTCAAACTGCTCAAAGCCCTCATCCAGATATCAAAATCTTCAAGAAGCCAGATTTCGCCTTCACCGTATTGGGTGTATATCTCCTTGAATGGGGATTTTTCATTCCAGTCACTTATATTACATCTTTCGCTCTCTATCAAGGATTTGATGCAGGGATTTCCTATCAATCTCTGTCCATCCTATCTGCTGCATCTGTTGTCGGTCGTTTCCTCCCGGGCTTGGTAGCTGATAAGATTGGCCGTTTCAACACTATTATTATGGCACTCTCTCTTACTGTGTTTGCCTGTTTTGTCGTCTGGCTTCCTTTCGGAAACACTTACGCGGGCTTAATTTGCACCGTTATAATACTTGGTTTTGCTTGCGGTAGCAATGTCGGTTTAACCCCCGTTTGCGTAGGCCAATTGTGCGACACCAAGGACTATGGCAGATACTATGCAACTTGTTATTCAGTTGTCAGTATTGGATGTTTGACCGGTGTTCCAATTGCTGGCGTTCTGATTGAGACTTGCGGGGGTGCTTACTGGGGATTGATCTTGTTCACTGGTCTTTGCTATGCTTCTAGCGCAGTTGCAATGGCGTGTGCAAGAGGTTATGGTGGCGGATGGAAATTGAATGCTAAATTTTAGATATGAGGTTGACTACTGGATACTAAGAGCACAGGATTGAGATGAGAGTCTTATGAGTAACGTCTAATGAATTATGACTAAAATTGCATTTAGGTGTGCATGTTATTAGCGTTGTTTGTTTGGGGTGGGCGTTCTTACTTGGAGGTTATGGTGTTTAAAATGGCTTGGCTACGCTTTATAATGTATATAATGTTAACAAATTTATGTCAAAAAATCGCATTTCCTAGTGACCATTCTCCTTCTTCAAATGTTAAAACCGATCATAATCACTTATTCTGCCCCATTACTTGAAAGTGGTTTGGTTGAATGATGCTAACTAGCCATGCCTACCTCACCATCAGAAGAACTTATACTCATTTATATGATGCTTCATTTCCATCTCGCTAAAGAGTCGCCTACCCTTTCTCAATCCACTGCTTCCCCAAACATACCCTGATAATGTCTTCCTTTCTCCCAAACACCTCACTCTCCTCATCCCGATTTCAAAACAGACCGGTATCGAAACGCCCAGCAATCGTTCAACGTTAAACCCACTTCAGAAGTAAATTTCACGTACAGCTAAACTTTTCGATGAAGAAAAAATATCTCGCAACCTACCTGATCAATCACCCTATTAATCTTCCATAAAATCACTTGATCACTACCTAAAGTCCAACTC